GGAAAAATACTATTATATTCAGCACTCCCACTCTTCTTGAAAGGTGTTCAGACATGTGGATTTAAGGCCTGGAAAGTACTTAAACTCAGCATGAACCGGAAGCTGTGACAGTTTTTTTTACATATTGTGATGCATTTCCTGGAGAAACAGAATGTTAAATAAAAAAAGCAGTGGGCGTGGCTTGTTTTTTCTACTGTGAGCTGATTGGAGTAGGCGTTTCATTCAGAAAGATGGGGAAAAGGGTTTGACAAGAGTTGTTACAGACTCCTCCTCCTCACCATTTCTGTGTGTTGTGACAGCTGGAGGGGCGTGGTTAAGTATGTTAGCCACGCCCAATACCTTAGACAGACCTAATCTGAGAATTTAACTAAAAACAAACATAAGTGCATCTGCAGATTTCAATTAAAGATTACAAGAGCAGACTTTTTCTTTCTTAGTGGCATGCGCAGATGAATTGTTCACCACAAAACTAGCAATATGAGACGATCATCAAAACTAACCGTATTGATTCCATTTGGACTTTTGCTTTTGCGCGTGTGTGTGTGTGCTTTCAGAGGAACGGTGTTGTGTTTGGGAATCATGTGAGTGGTGATCAGTTCAGCAGTGTTACCCAGCGTCCTCTGCAGCTGCCGCTCCCACAGAGTCAGCCACTGTCCGATGCCAGATCCTCCAACTCCAATATAAACAATGCCAATGGTCCCGGCATCACCAACGGCTGGCACAGCGGCAGGAGCCTGGTGTCATCCCTGAGCGTCTGCCTGAACCTCAGAGCAGATGGAGAAACACAGACACACAGGTCAGCCTCATGTTTACAGAATTATTCCGCCTCCAATTCGATCGATATTTATATAGTGATATTTAATAGAGCAAACACATGTTCACAGTGTTTCTAATAATATTTTTTCTGGAGAAAGTCTTCATCAATCAATCAATCAATCAATCAATCAATCAATCAATCAATCAATCAATCAATCTATTAATCTATCAATCAATCATTCAATCAATCAATCAATCTATTAATCTATCAATCAATCATTCAGTTGGTCAGACAGCCAACCAACCAATAAACAAATCAATCACTTAATCAATCAATCAATCAATCAATCAGACAACCAACCAACAAACAAATCAATCACTTAATCAATCAATCAATCAATCGATCAATCAATCAATCAGTCAATCAATCAATCAATCAGACAGCCAACCAACCAACAAACAAATCAATCACTTAATCAATCAATCAATCAATCAATCAATCAATAAATCAATCAATCGGACAGCCAACCAACCAACCAACAAACAAATCAATCACTTAATCAATCACTTAATCAATCAATCAATCAACCAATCAATCAATTAACCAGTCACTCTATTAATCAATGTTATTAGGCCGTTCTCCAGTGCTGTTGGATATCCCACCATTCAAGTGGAGAACCCGACTCGTGATGATGTCAGTGACGAGGACAGGACTTCTGGAGAGTTTTACAGTGGTGAAGAGTTTCACGATGAGGACGTGATGCTGGCCAGAGACAGGTAATGCTGGAAAATTCTTCTTCATGACCATTACTACAGCTGAAATGAAAAGAAGAAACGATTCTGCATCAATTCTGAGCATAGTTTATAACAGCATATGGCGCTGCCTAGAGCGCCGTCTGCTGTTAAACACTAGCCTAGAGCGCCGTCTGCTGTTAAACACTAGCCTAGAGCACTGCTTGCTGTTAAACACTAGCCTAGAGTGCCGTCTGCTGTTAAACACTAGCCTAGAGCGCCGTCTGCTGTTAAACACTAGCCTAGAGCTCCGTCTGCTGTTAAACACTAACCTAGAGCGCCATCTGCTGTTAAAAACTAGCCTAGAGTGCCGTCTGCTGTTAAACACTAGCCTAGAGCGCCGTCTGCTGTTAAACACTAGCCTAGAGCGCCGTCTGCTGTTATACACTAGCCTAGAGCGCCGTCTGCTGTTAAACACTAGCCTAGAGCGCCGTCTGCTGTTAAAAACTAGCCTACAGTGCCATCTACTGGTAAACACTAACCTAGAGCACCATCTGCTGTTAAAAACTAGCCTAGAGCACCGTCCGCTGTTAAACATTAGCCTAGAGCGCCGTCTGCTGTTAAACACTAGCCTAGATCACTGTTTTCTGTTAAAAACTTGCCTAGAGCGCCGTCTGCTGTTTAAAAACTAGCCTAGAGCACCGTCTGCTGTTAAACCCTAGCCTAGAGCGCCGTCTGCTGTTTAAAAACTAGCCTAGAGCGACATCTGCTGTTTAAAAACTAGCCTAGAGCGCCATCTGCTGTTAAACTTAAGCCTAGAGTGCCGTCTGCTGTTAAACACTAGCCTAGAGCACTGTATTTTAAACACTAGCCTAGAGCACTGTTTTCTGTTAAAAACTTGCCTAGAGCGCCGTCTGCTGTTTAAAAACTAGCCTAGAGCACCGTCTGCTGTTAAACCCTAGCCTAGAGCGCCGTCTGCTGTTAAAGACTAGCCTAGAGCGCCGTCTGCTGTTTAAAAACTAGCCTAGAGCACCGTCTGCTGTTAAACCCTAGCCTAGAGCGCCGTCTGCTGTTTAAAAACTAGCCTAGAGCGACATCTGCTGTTTAAAAACTAGCCTAGAGCGCCATCTGCTGTTAAACTTAAGCCTAGAGTGCCGTCTGCTGTTAAACACTAGCCTAGAGCACTGTATTTTAAACACTAGCCTAGAGCACTGTTTTCTGTTAAAAACTTGACTAGAGCGGCATCTGCTGTTTAAAAACTAGCCTAGAGCAGCATCTGCGATTTACAAACTAGCCTAGAGCGCCATATGCTGTTAAACACTAGTATAAAGCACCATCTGCTGTTAAATACTAGCCTAGAGCACCATCTGCTGTTGGAAAAGCAGAATTTTGAGCTGTAACAGTGCTTTGTCCTGCAAGGTCATACAGAGACGTTCAAGACACACTCAGTGATGGAGATTCAGTCCGAGACCAGGACATGTATGAGAGTGTGTGTGATGATGAAGACGAGCAGCTGATTTCCCCGCATCCCCAGCGCTCCTCAAGACGACTCCTGCGCTCCACGGCTCCAGGTCAGAGACCAGACAGACGAAATACGCATTTTACAGCTTCACACCCAACAACTTTCACACTGCTGTTGACTGTGAATGACTTCAGAAATGACTGTGAGCACGTGTACACAGTGGCAAATCAGCTCTGTTTAAGAACTCAACAGCGCTCAAATGTATTGCATTTTTTAAATTTTACTATCAATCGGTACCGAATTCCAGTATCATGACAACCCTAGTTGAAACTGAAATTAGAAACTTAAATCCTTCTCACGACACCTGCAATGTTGTTAGTTTACTGAATATTTTTCCATATGAAGAAACTCATGTTGATGTGTTTGTTTCTCGGTTCAGCCTCCCACAGGTCTGCTTTTCATTTCGAGTGTCTGCGCAAACAGAGTCAGGATCAGATTCAGCTTCGTCCCGCAGCTTCACCACCACAGCATCATCAGGTGATCAACAACATGAGAAAACACAGCACACCGCTCGAATAAATGAAATAAAACTGCATCAGCAGCAGGACTGGCCTCACAAAACTAAATCCCCTGGGAATGCACCTGAACAGAATAATGCACTATACACCCATTCATATTGCATTAGTAGTTTCTAAATAATACAGACACTCTTGACTGACAGACCTGGTTAGTAGTGGATTATATTTAGTCAGGATTACGCAACCAGATTACAAAATTTAAGTACTCGTAACTACTTTTAAAATACTTGTAATCAGAATAGAGTTCCATTCATTTTTTTTTCGGCTTAGTCCCTTTTATTAATCGAACCAGCGACCTTCTTGCTGTGAGGCGGCAGCACTACCTACTGCGGCACTGCGTCGCTGCTTCGAGTCCCTAAAATGGATAAACTAAATTGGCTGTAGTGTATAAGCGTGTGTCAACTTGAGTGTGTATGGGTGTTTCCCAGTACTGGGTTGCAGCTGAAAGGGCATCCGCTGTGTAAAGCATATGCTGGATAAGTTGGCAATTCATTCCGCTGTGGCGACCCCTGATGAATAAAGGGACTAAGCTGAAGGAAAATGAATGAATGAATGAATGAATGACAATCCACTGATTTTAGAGTGTATATAGTATTGAGTCAAGTAGTTAAAATACTTTGTTGAGCATTTCAATTACTTTTCAGACAAAGTAATTAGCAAATCAGTTTAAATACAATTTCAATTATACAATTACTAATTGATGACCTTTTTAACTACCTAACACTAGATACCATAAATGTCTGAAAATCTAAGAGATTATATTACTATCTACAAATCTTGTGCTGTAATTTGTTATCCATTACAGATTTCAACTTAAAAGTAATCTGCACAACCAGTGTGTGTAATCTGTGAGTTTTTCTGTGCAGGTGAGGATGATGAGTGGCCAGGAATCCAGCCAATCACGACTCTCTCCGACGCGCTCCATCCGCTCGTGGGTCACGCCCCCAACCACACCTCCTCCATACACTCCACTGGTCCAGGCCACGCCCAGCGCCAGCAGCACTCCGGGATTGGTCCACAGAGGCTTCTGGAACACACAGCAGGCTTCTGATTGGTCGATGCGGTCTCCGCCCACCACCTCCTCCCTCTTGAAGGTCCCTCCACGGCTATGTGGACATCATCTGCAGACGCGGAGCAGCGCACACAGCCTGGTGGAGGCCGTGAGTCAACATATTTACTCACCATTTACACTGCGTTTACACTCGTAATTTACACTGTTTACACATTTACTCACTATTTTTAGTGTGTATACACTTATAATTTAAACTGTTTACACATTTACTCACCATTTACACTGCGTTTACACATTTACTCACCATTTACACTGCATTTACACATTTACTCACCATTTACACTGTGTTTAAACTCATAATTTACACTGTTTACACATTTATTCACCATTTACACTGCATTTACTCACCATTTACACTGCATTTACTAATTTACTCACCATTTACACTGTTAACACACACCATTTACACTGTGTTTGTAATCACCTTTTACACTGTTTACACATTTACTTACCATTTACATTGTTAACACACACCATTTACACTGTTTGTAATCACCATTTACACTGTTTACACATTTACTTACCATTTACACTGCATTTTTACTCACCATTTACAGTGTTAACACATTTACACACCATTTACACTGTTAACACACACCATGTTGACTATTTACACAATTATTCACCATTTACACTTCGTTCACACAATTACTCACCAGTTACACTGCATTTACTCATTTACTCACCATTTACACTGTTTACACATTTACTCACCATTTACACTGTGTTTACCCACCATTTACACTGTTTACTCATTTACTCACTATTTACACTGTTAACACATTTACTCACCATTTACACTGCATTTGCTTATTTACTTAGCATTTACACTGTGTTTACAAAATTACTCACCATTTACAGTGTTTATACTTACCATTTACACTGTTTACACATTTACTCACCATTTACACTGCGTTTACACATTTACTCACTCTTTACACTGCGTTTATGCTTACCATTTACACTGTTTACACATTTACTCACCATTTACCCTGCAATTACACATTCACTTAACATTTACACTGTTTATGTTCACCATTTACACTGCATTTACACATTTACTCACTATTTACACTGCATTTACACATTTACTCACCATTTACCCTGCAATTACACATTCCCTTAACATTTACACTGTTTATGCTCACCATTTACACTGCATTTACACATTTACTCACCATTTACCCTGCAATTACACATTTACTTAACATTTACACTGTTTATGCTCACCATTTACACTGCATTTACACATTTACTCACTATTTACACGGCATTTACACATTTACTCACCATTTACACTGTTTATGCTCACCATTTACACTGCGTTTACACATTTACTCACCATTTACACTGTTTATGCTCACCATTTACACTGCGTTTACACATTTACTCACCATTTACACTGCATTTGCACATTTACTCACCATTTACGCTGTTTACTCACCATTTTTACTGCATTTACTTGAGATATACACTGTTTACACATTTACGCACCATTTACACTGCGTTTATACTCACTTTTTACACTGTGGTGTAAATGGCGAGTAAATGTGTAAACAAAGTTAAGCTGACTTTGGACTTACTCACCATTTACACCGAGTTTATAAATAAATAGTTTTTAGTCTTAGCATATGTCAAATCCTGTTGTGCTGACGCTGTGTATTTGCCCATAGGTGATGATATCTGGTGGACTGGGAAAATACGCGAAGGATCCAAAGTTTGTGACTGTAACCAAACACGAGATTGCAGACGCTTGCGAAATGACAATCGACGAGATGGAAAGTGCCGCTAGCAACCTACTGAATGTGACGCTGGGCTCTGGGGGAAACGAGACAGGTTTGAGTCCAAATCTACGAGATTACAGCGATGAGGAGACGGACAGTAGCAGCCGACGGGACGAGGATCTGGCCGACGAAATGATCTACGTCTCAGTGTTGTAGTGTTGTAAAAACGAGGTAACCGTGCCTTTAAAAACTGCAGTGTCAAGCTCTGCTGCTCACGCTGACCAATCGCTTTACACTCCTTTTGAGCTTTTCATGTAGTTAAACCTACTGATGTCTTGGGGAAATTTCCAAAACTGATAAACTGGAAAATCTGTTCAACTTTTGGTGATTCCAAACCAACTTAACCAGAAAAAGCTCACTTGGTCAAACAGATGCACCTTCGCTAACCGTTTAAAGCAATCCAGGCTCATTGGAAGTATGTGTTTGGAGCTACATTGTAGCAAATCTGAAATTCATTGCTCAGAGTGTGTTTTATTGTACGTTTCAGGTGATAAATCCACTAGAGGGCGCTGTCTACATTTTTAAGTGAACCTGAAATGCGTTACTCAGGGTTCGTTTGGATGTATATTTCAGATGAACAAATCCACTAGAGGGCGCTGTCTACATTTTTAAGTGAATCTGAAATGCGATACTCAAGGTTTGTTTTGTTGTACGTTTCAGATGACAAATACACACGACGACGCTGTCTGAATTTTAAGTGAACCTGAAATGCTTTACTCAGGGTTGGTTTTGTTGTACGTTTCAAAGGAAAAGTCCACTAGAGGGTGCTGTCTACATTTTTAAGTGAACCTGAAATGCGTTACTCAGGGTTCGTTTGGTTGTATGTTTCCGATGTTTAATCCACTAGAGGGGCGCTGTCTTAAATTTTAAGTGAACCTGAAATGTGTTACTCTGGGTTTGTTTTGTTGTACGTTTCAAAGGACAAGTCCACTAGAGAGTGCTGTCTAAATTTTTAAGTGGCAATAAAATACGTTACGTAGAGTTTGTTTAGTTGTACGTTTCAGATGACAAATCAATTAGAGGGCACTGTGAAAATGAAAATATATTGCTCCAGGTATGTTTTGTTGTGCATTTTAGATGACAAATGCACTAGAGGGCACTAAATACATTTCTGCTAATATGAAATATATTAATTAGGGTACATTTTGTTGTATGTTTCAGATCCACGTCCACAAGGTGGCAGCTCTTGTTGTACAGATCAGCTAGGGTACCACTAAGCTAAACATTTCCCTAAACCCAACCAATAGTGTTTTCAGAAGCAGCCAAAAGAGAAAAGTGCACCTTGACCAAGTGCTTTTACCTTGATTTTGCATTGCTTTTATTTGTTTTGTGGAAGCGTGCTTCACCAGGACTCGAGCGCTCTTCAGCACTCACCACTGAGCAAACTGACCACCAGAAGAGTGTTTATATAGAGGTATAAAGGTGACAAACATATTAATTACAAATCATAGACAGCATTAAGTTGTTTTGTGCTGTTTATTTTGGTTTTGTGCAAAGAACGGCTTGAAGATCATCCTGTATTTACCGTTATTATGTCCCTGTTAGTATCATTAATGTGAAAAGGAGCAAAAGTTGTCATCACACTGCCCCCTAGTGTTCATTTTATACACAAACTGCAACTAAACGTAAGTTAAAGTATGTTTATGTGGTTTCACACTAAAATGTAGACTAAAGCAAGTGTTTCCAGTGAGCCTGAGTTGGAGTACAGAGTTTTATTCACATCTGTGAAGCAATTACCATGGTAAAAGCTTCACAGTGTTAACCACTTTTGGAATAACCAGGGGCCTCACTCATAAAGATGTGCATCATGTACAATACAACACATTCTGAAGGTGTCCTATGAATGATGTACTGTCATAAACATTTAAATGCTCTTAAATATATGTCACAGTTCATTTGTTCACAAATATCTCTGGAAACACTTTATTTTAAGGATGCCTTGTTACACTTATTTTCTATAATAATTAAAAATAATTAAGCAAAATTACAAGCAAATAACCCAAAACCTAACTCTAACCATATAGTTAATGCATGTAACATTCATATTTCTCAATAGTAAAATGGAGTCATGGTGGCTCAGTGAATAGCACTGTGGTCTCACACTGGTTCGAGTCCCAGCTGGAACAGTTGGTGTTTCTGTGTGGAGTTTGCATGTTCTCCCTGTGTTACCGTGGGTTTCCTCCGGGTGCTCCGGTTTCCCCCACAGTCCAAACACATGCGCTATAGGGGAACTGATCAACTACATTGGCCGTAGTGCATGAGTGTGTGTGAGAATGAGTGTGCATGGGTGTTTCCCAGTACTGGGTTGCAGCCGGAAGTGCATCCGCTGCATAAAACATACGCTGGAGTAGTTTGCGGTTCATTCCGCCGTGTCCTATTTTGTTCTTTGCTTTTGACAGTAGACAAATCCCTTATTCAAGTAGCAAATATGATCACATGTGCATTTTCATATATGAGGTCTCTGGTTTTTCCAGTTAAATAATAAATAAATGTCATTATGGACTGAATGTCTCCGTTTTCCTACTGATTATGGTTGCACTTGGCATCAAAGAGGGCAAATCTGCCAACAAATTGTGTTAAGGCTTACCGAAATGTATGCATGATGAAAGTTTTCCTTATTTTGTGGCAGTTGAAATGAGATAAGACTTGATCTTGGGTAACACTTTAGAATGAAGATAATTAAAGCAGTATTGAAGTATACAGTATAAAAGAATTAACGCAGTAACTAAACCACAAGCAGTATATTCATTAATTAAAATAACTCATTTAAAACTTAATCTTTTGCAACTCTTCGTTGTTTATTTCAGCTCAGGTTTATTAAATGATATGAAGACGTCACTGGCGAGTGCACTGGAACTAATAATGGCTTCGGGAACATGATTTATTATCATTACGTTAACGAATGTTCACCTTTTTGTAAAGTGTTACCCTTGCTTTCACATGTGTGAACTGGATTTCAGTGAAACTATAAGGCATTTAAAGAATCCCTAAACATTTATAAGTACAAGTATTAAATGCAAGTATTGAGAATTAAAAGGATAGTTCAGCCAAAGTGAAAACTCTGCCATTAATTACTATCATTTTCAGACACGATTAAGATATTTTAGATGAAATCCTGGAGCTCTCTCATCCTCCATAAACACACAGAAGTATTCTTAAACGTTTAATAAAATTATACGGAAGCATTGAAGACACATTTTGAGGATGTTTTTGGACTTTATATACAGTCAGAATTATTAGCCCTCCTGTTTATTTTTTTCCTCGATTTCTGTTTAACGTAGAGCAGATTTCCTCAACACTTTTCGGAACAGTTTAATAACTCATCTCTAGTAACTGACTTATTTTTATCTTTGTCATGATGACAGTAAATAATATTAGACTAGATATTCTTCAAGACACTTCTATACAGCTTAAAGTGACATTTAAAGGCTTCACTAGGGTAATTAGGGTAACTAGGCAGGTTAGGGTAATTAGGCAAGTTATTGTATAACCAACCCAGGCTCATTCTGAAAACGTAGTCCAGCGGACGTTTCTGGAGACCGCGAAATGCGTCCTGGGAGGTACTGTACACTGTAAAAAATGGCAGTGATTTCAACGGTAAAAAACTGTAAAAATGCTACAGTATAAATCCGTAACCTGGTTAACGGTATGTTTCCTTAATATATACGGCAAATAACCGTAAATTGACTTTCCCAGAATTCCCTGCATGGCACATCACTTTTTATGCATTTGGTTGACATTAATATGGATCTTTTTAGTTGTTTCCTCATCAGTTGTGTACATTAGAGATTTATGTTACATCTAATGTTGATGAACAATGTTTATTTCATGACTTTAATTTTATGCGTGTTACCAAACTGGTGTTTAGTAGCTGTGTGAATGACACTGAGCACCTTCTATATGCTGATACTCTTTTCTGCTAATAGGAAAAGTTGATTGTGATGAGCATTGGTTTATTATGTAACTCTCATCACCACCTGCATGTGGATGTGCTAACGTGTCTAACTGTGTAACAAAAGATGAGTAGATGTTGATCATTCAAAATACAGACATATTACCTCAATAAATTATTAAAATACGGTAATTTACCGTAAAAATTAAAAATTACTTTTACGGTTTGTACCGTGTTTTTAACGGTAAAGTACTGGCAACCACAGCTGCCGGTTTTTACCGTAAATTTTCCGGATTTATTTTTTACAGTGTACGTATTTGTGCAGTTTTTGTTTTCGTGAATCCGCGAGAGGCCGCTGTGCGCACTTTTTCGTATCTCGAGCGTCTCTCGCGAGTGCCGTTCGCGCCCGCGCTGTTCTCGCGTCAACCCACCAGAGGCCGCTGTCTGACCGACCAAATGATTGACCGCGCGACCGGCCAATCGGCTGACCCACCCTCCTCCTTCCCTGAACCCAACCAGTTTTACCGATTGACCCGCCCGCCCGCCCGTCACTTCCCTAAACCCGAGCAACAATTTAGAAAAGCCCTCGTCTGCTTTTTTTTTTTTTTAACCACGTTTTCGGATTTCACCGCATGCTCACCGTGTTATGAACTCGTTCGCTTTATTTTTTTAATTCTGTTTTTGTCTTACCTGGTTTCTGGAACCGCTCTTCCCCACACTCGAACGCCTTTGTCAACTCCTCCTCTCTGCATCTGAAGTCCGCCGATGCACACGATGAGCTGACCGGACAAACTGACTGCAGCGGTAAAGCCCTCCACACGGAGGTAAGCGGTCAGCCGGCAAGCGCGAAAGGGAATGGCATCACACCACCCCGTAGCGTTCGCTTAAAAAAATGAAATGCAGCCATACGTACCTCCCGGAACGTATTTCGCGGTCTCCAGAAACGTCCGCTGGACTACGTTTTCAGAATGAGCCTGGGTTGTGTATAACAGTGGTTTGTTCTGTAGACTATCAGAAACAAATATATAGCTTTAAAGGGCTAATAATATTGACCTTAAAATGGTGTTTAAAAAATTAATAACTGCTTTCATTCTAGCCGAAAAAAAACAAATAAGACTTTCTCCAGAAGAAAAAAATATTATCAGACACACTGTGAAAATTTCCTGAATCTGTTCAACATCATTTGGGAAATATTTAAAAAAGAAGAAAAAAGGGGGGGTGAATAATTCTGACTTGAACAATATCTCAGGACCCTTGCTGTCTATGGAGGACAAGAGAGCTTCAGGATTTCCTCTAAAATATCTTCATTTGTGTCCTGAAGATGAACGAAGGTGTCAGGTGATTGGAACAAGTAATTAATGACAGAATTGTAATATTTTAATGAGCTAACCGCTTTAGGCTTTACACACAGTATGATGGAGTACCTCAGGTCATCAAACAGGTCTAACAAAGGGCTTTGCTGAATGCAAACAGCAGCTTTTCTTTAACACACAACACATATCACAGCAGCAGTGTGTGTGTGTGTGTTTGTATACTGGTTATGGTGGTTTACAAGTTGCATAATGGCATAGGTATGACATCGTTGTACTCTGTTAAACTGGAGGACATGCCTGATGTCAATATATACGGTTGATGTCAGCATTATAAGCCCCCCTGTACATTTTTTCCCCCAATTTCTGTTTCGTCTCCTTTCTAAATGTCAAGTTTAGCACTTTTAGATCGACTCTCAACTGCCTTTATCATTTTCAAGATTATAGACATACAGAAAGGATCTATTTTTAACCAAATGTGTGATTTTGAAGTGTATGTATTGAATGAATGGGCAAAATATGAAAGTGTTTTAATAATTATGATGCTTATAATTGAATTTATGGAGTTCATATTTCTGTATCGTTTAAAGGAATTTCACATTACTTCTGGTATTTTCAATCTGTAATTAAAAGGCATTGCAATGAAGAGATTATTGTTCATCGTCTTCATGGACACTTTATAAGGCTGTAAAAGCACATTTCAATCAATCCTCAGGAGACTTTTATAGTTTCATCACTTTATTCTGTCACATTTTCAGTCATTATTCTCCTTTTACATGCTTTTTCAATCATTAAACCATTGTTTTCTTATATTCTGCAATGATATCAGTTAATATAGCATTAAAAGCACACGTTGCACACTGTAAAAAACGTCCAGAATTTCACAACATGTAACACAGATGTGTAAAAGCTCTCTCTCTCTTACACTTTGTAAACATTAACGAGTTATTTGCATAGATGAATGTAACGATAGTTCATAGTGTTATACAATCAGCAGCTGAAATGTTTCCTTTAAGATTAATAACACTTTTAATAGTGTCAATCTGATCATGTAGACATGCATTCTGGACAAAAGCAGGCTACAAATGACTTCAATAATAAGTGTATTTTTACATTAAGACACTTGTGAGTAAAAGTTATCGCGTCTGGTCATATTTCCTTAAAAATCGAATGAAATCGTACCACTTCTCTGACATTGTATAAAATAGGTAAACTTCCCCATGAGATCAAACTGCTGCATCTCGCATTTTTAGATACAGGGATGCTTTCTATGTGAATGCCAGTCTGAGTTCTCCCATTACAGTGTCTGCCAACTACACACGATGCGACACGACATGCAATATGGCTGTCCACCAAACGCAACATGACAGAAAACATTTAAATACCTGCCACTGCACTCCCGAAGAAATGGTAATTAATGATAAACATCATTTTAACATCATTAAAAATAGATGCTGAGTGACTGATGTTGTTGGAGTCCCAATTCTGACTTTCATTTTCAAACCGTCTGCTAGTTATTTTATTTTCAAGATCTGAGCTGAACTATCTGCTGCTTCTCCTTTCAGTTGCATGGCAATAAATGTCAGGTAAAATGTGTTTAAACTCAGATTGGGAGCATTTAACACCAAATAAAGCACATAATCAGTACCTGAGGGGATCTTTGTCATTGTAGTTTATGCTGTGATGTCACCATTTCTGAAATTTGCTGGATGGATGGTTAGAACAAAAACTCCTTTTCACATGGAAATTGAGCTTTTATCGCATGTTGTGGCGTCAATGCATGTGTAGTTAGGTGATGGTTTTACTGATCAAGCGTTTAGGCTGGTAAACAGAAACTCCTTATGGTTTCAACTGCTTTTTCTGCAATCATAATAGTGGGAGCGTTCAGGCTGACCATACTGGAAATGTAAGGAAAATTAACTCAAAAGTAACGTATCGCATTACTTAACATAAAAAAAAAACGTAACTATAAGTACTGCAACTAGATACTTTTTCTGGGAGTAACTCATACTTACAACAGTAACTTTACCCAACACTGGTTAGGAGGACCAAAGTCCTTTTAACATGGAAAATATAGCTTTTATTGTGTGTTGCGGCGTTGTGTCATGTTGTGTAGTTTGTAGCGTTGTCAAAAGTATCGAGTTTGGTACCAATCAATGCAGAAATTTTAAAATCATCCATTTCCCGTTAACATTTGAGCACATTCTTAAACGCAGCTGATTGGTCACTGTGTTCATGTGCTCAACAGAAATGACTGTGATTGGACGTGACGGTCATAAGTTCAAACACAGAAACACACACTCTGGAGTGTGTCAAAGTCATGTAGATCAGCTGGTCTGTCTATAAACTAATGTTTTTAAAATTTAAAATACCGATTGGTATTGAATTCGATACTTTTGACAGCACTAGTAGTGAGACAGTTTTTTTCATGGTGTATTGGGTTGTGTGTGTTTGGGATGGTAAACAGAAACTCCAGGTAAGGCCTTTAATGTTGCATCCAGTAACGCAACTAGTTACTTTTTCGGGGGGGTAACTCAATTTTATAGTGCATTACTATCAAAAGTAACCGTCCCCAACACTAGTTAGGACATGATAAACATAGTGTTTATCTTGTGTCGTGGCTTCTTTTGTGTGTAGTTAAGAGGCAGTTTTACCATGGTGTAACGGGTTAAGCTTTCCTTAAAAGTAACTCAAAGGTAACGTATCACATTACTTTACATAAAAAGACTTGTTAGCGCTACCAAGCCGACCAATCATAGAGCTTACGCTATGCGTCATTTCGACGTTTAGTTACATTTTTTGAGAGGTGCACGTCAGCAACGCCGACAGCCATGGCGAAGGGGTATGCGTCAGCGCTGTAGCATACGCCGGCGTTTGACGCAGAAGTATAAATCAGCCTTAACTCAGTATTATAATGCGTTACTTTCAACAGTAACTTTACCCAGCACTGGTTAGGACAAAAGTAATTTGAACATGGAAAATATAGGCTGCGTCCGAAACCGCCTACTCTGCATTTGAATTTAAACGTACTACTCGACCGTTAGTAAAGTACATTCTATACAGTATGAATGGAATTCGAACGTACTACATCAGGCATTTTGTCATGGTCACGTGACCTACCTCCGTCATTTCTCGTCATTGAATTCTCTCGCGGGGCATTATGGGATAGCGCAGCATGCATGGGATGCGCACTACAGAATCTTGCCGGAAGTAGTAAGTCATCCGGGTACGTCTCGCAGACTGATTTTTGTATTCTATGAATTCGGACATACTACTCGGCTCACATACTGATTTTAGCGTACTATATAGTATGGAAGTATGCGGCTTCGGACGCAGCCATAGCTTTTATCGTGTGTTGCTGTGTCATGTCATGTGTTATTAGTAGTGTTGTCAAAAGTATCAAGTTCGGTGCACAGTTTATCAACACAGTCACAGCTGATTGGTCATTGTGTTTATGTGCTCAACAGAAATGACTGTCAGTTCACCGACTGCAAACACAGAAACACACACACACACACACACACACACACACACACACAAGTTGTGTAGATCAGCTGGTCTGTCTATGAACTGAGGTTTTTTAAATGTTAGTAGCGATTGGTACTGAACTCGATACTTTTGACAACACTATCAGTTAGGACACAGTTTTACCATGGTGGATCTGGATAAATGTGTGGTTTAGGCTGGTGAACAGGAACTTCAGGATGTAGTGAGGGAAGGCCTTTAATGGCGTCTGCCGCTTTCTCCGTGATCATGATTTCAAGAGTTCACACTAAGGCTGCTTTCACACCTACACTTTTGTTTGGGAACGTGTCTCGTTTGCCCAGTTAGCGCGGTTCGATTGGCATATGTCAACAGGGCAATCGCGCTCTGTTCCGCGCCAAAGTAATCGCTCCGAGATCGCTTGAATGAGGTGGTCTCGGCTCGATTGAAACGAACCCTGGAGCGGTTCGATTGCAGTGAGAAAGCGATCCGATCCGAGCACGGTTATATAACAGTGTTTTATGGATATGTAATAGGCTTACGGCTATATGAAGAGAGAATTATGAGTAGGGCGGGAAGTTTCGCGAGTCTCCGGATGCCCGCAAACGAGTGATGATCTCCCGGTAATCTCGCGTCTCTCTCAGTCCTCAAATAGGCATCGTCGCGCACCCTTCTCACCCCTCCCCACCGTGTCTCTCCTCAGACACGTCACGCGCGCGCACCCTGTCAATCACCACCAAACCACCACCTCTCCTGACAGCTGAGCGGGACGCTGCAAAATAAACCCTGACACTCTGACCAATGTGAGGAGAGTTTACTCGCACGTGACTTGTTTTAGCTCTTTTGGTCCGATTAGAAACTTTGCAGTGTGAAAGCGAACCGCTCCAAGAGCAAAGAGCAACAATGTAACAATTATAATCTCTGTTTCAGAACAACTGAATCCATTCACAGGTGTGAAAGCAGCCTTAGATATGCTTGACGCTAATAGCAGGGTTGGCATGCTGTCACAGGAGAGAACCCTGAGCTCAGAGATAATTGAGCTCAGGGCTCCCGCCTGGTCAATAAGCATATACGGGGGTCCGAGATCAGGCAGGTCTCGAGAGCTCCCCCTGGTAAAGGGAGGAAAAGGAGGAGATGGGCGATTCTTCCAAAACAAAGATAAGGTATTAGGGCGAATTCGCTCTATTTGTTGTAAGCTTCAATCAATCTGATTGGTTTATTGCTGATGAAAGGCCAGCTGCGATCAATCGTATTTCGTCATTAGAGCGTCATTTCATGTGTAGTTAGTAGTGTTGCCAAAAGTATTGAGTTTTGTATCAAATGGTACTTAAATATAAAAAAAGTCCCTTTCCTGCTAACATTTGAGCACATTCTTAAACAGCTGATTGCTCATTGTGTTCGGGTGCTCAACAGAAAGGACTGTGATTGGCTGAGAAGGTCATCAATTCACCACTCTTCACAGAGTCCCAACACAGTGGAGTGATTTAAAGCCGTGTCAATCAGTGGATCCATCAGCGGATCGCTCATATACCAGCTCATAGACAGAGCAGCTTATCTACGTGACTCTGAAATGCTCCAGTGTGTGTATCTGTGTTTGCACTCGGAGAACAGTGATGAAGAGCAGTGAACTGATGACTTTCATGGCCAATCACAGTCATTTCTGTTGAGCACCTGACCACAATGGCCAATCAGCGGTGTTTAAGAACTCAACTGCGCTCAAATGTTAGCGGGAAATGAATATTTGTCAAATTTCAGTGTCGATTGGTACTGAACTCCATACTTTTGACAACACTTGCAGTTAGGAGACGGTTTTACCATGGCGGATCAGGTTAAGGGTGTTTTCTGGGCTGGTAAACAGGAACTCCAGGGTCGTGCAGTGAGGGAAGGCCTTTAATGGCGTCCGCCGCTTTCTCTGCGATCATGATAGTGGGAGCGTTCAGGTTCCCGCTGACCATACTGGGCATGACGGAGGCGTCCACCACCCGTAGCCCCTCCACACCAAACACCCGCAGCTCAGGACTGACCACTGCCATCCTGTCCTCCGGCCGGCCCATCTTACAGGTGCAGGACGGGTGATAGGCGCTGTCTGCCTTCTGCCGTACGAAAGCGTCGATCTCCGCGTCTGACTGCACTGCAGGGCCCGGCTGGACCTCGGGGCCCCGGAACTCATCAAACGCTTGCTGAGCGAAGATCTCCCGCGTGAGCCTCACACACTCTCTGAACTCCAGCACATCCGTCTCTGCACAAAACCAGCAGCACACACATGAGGAGATACTATGGTAATTCATAGTAAATATACTGTAGTGTTTTTGATCCATACTATAGTAAAGTGCTTGAGTTAATATGCTATTAGAGACATTAATTTGTACTTTATTTGTATTATAAATACTGCAAAAATGATTTTCTTACTTTGTAAGGGTGCTACATGAAGTATAGTAATATACTTCAACATTATTTGAGCATACCTCATAAAATAAACTTAAATTGTGCTTGTAAGGGTTCAACATGAAGTATACTCAAAAAACCCTTTTGTAAGGGTTCAACATGAAGTATACCTTAAAAATACATCAAAGTGATTTAAGAGTACTTAATAAAATGATCTTCGAGCTATTGTTGTTGTAATGGTACTACATGAAGTAGACTTAAATATAGCTCATAAAATGACCTTAAGTATACTTGTTTTTGTAAGGGTACTACATAAAGTAAAACTTATTTAATTCAACATTAAGTATACTTATTAAAATAACTTAAAGTATGCTTGTTTTTTGTAAGGGATGAACATGAAGTATACTTAAAAATATACTCCTTAAAATAACTTTAAGTATACTTGTTTTGTAATGGTACTACATGAAATATACTTACATATGTACTTCTGAATTATTTAAGTATATTTCATAAAAGGACCTACTTGTTTTTGTAAGGGTACTACAAGAAGTATACTTCAATATATACGTCAACATTATTTAAGTATACTTTATAAAATTAACTTAAATTATGCTCGTTTTGAAAGGGTTCAACATAAAGCATACTTAAAAATACACTTCAAAATTACTTAAGTGTGCTTCATAAAATGACCTTCAAGTTATTGTTTTTGTAAGGTACTACATGAAGTATACTTCAATATATAGTTCATAAAATTACCTTAAGTATACTTATTTTTGTAATGGTGCTAGATGAAGTATACTTACATATGTACTTCTAAATTAAGTACACAATAAAATTACATACTTGTTTTTGTAAGGGTACTACACGAAGTATACTTAAATGTATACTTCAACATTACTTATATATATTCATAAAATGACCTTCAAGTTATTGTTTTTGTAAGGGTACTACATGAAGTATACTTAGGGTCACTATATATTTAAAGAGCCCATATTATGGGTTTTTGAAAATTTCCCTCCATGTAGTGTGTAACACAGCTCTAAGTGAAGTGAAGTATCCAGCTAAGGCTTAAATCTGTAAGAATACAGTGTTTAAAACTGTTGATTCATCTATAAAAGAGTCGACTCATAGTGCTTCAAACGAGTCGCCTTGATACCGACTCATTAGGTGTTTCGCCATGACGTACGAACGAAACCAAGTTATTCACGTGCACGCGCAAACCCGGGAGATTTCAAACCTGAGGCCCCGCCCTCTGACGCAGTAACCCAGACACACACACACACCCACAAACACACGCACACCCACAAACACACGCACACAAACATGCCGGTAGATTGAAGTCACACTGCAGATGGACATTATATTGAGTCTCTACCCAAAGATGAAACATCAGCATTATAACCAAGCAGTTGGAAACTTCTGGAAGCTACATGCTACAAAGAATACTTCATCTGAGTTTGTTAAAGGAAGGATCAGTAAAGAGTAACTGATGGACGTCAGGATGGGTTTCTTCCATTTCTCAAGTGTAAAAGTACGTGCGGTTAAAGTTGTTGCCTCGTTTACTCTTGCTTGCAAATGTATTTAGTTGTGATTTGTTACTTGTAACCGCGTGTACTGTATCAGGTTAACTGGATATTTTATCTTATCGCGTGCAAAGTCACGTTAAAAACGCGACGCGTGCTGTTTGTTTATGGAGCTCCGTGCTAGAGTTCTGCTCCCGCGATTTATTCGGAAATTTATTCCCGCGCCGCAGAAATCTGGCGCGGGGACAGCCGCGGGAATAAATTTCCGAATAAATCGCGGGAGCGGTCGGTAACGGGTTTAATTTGGGACGGGAGCGGGCTGTCTAGCAATATCACGGATATTGCTATGCGAATTAGAAAGAGAGAGTCTGCGTGGTGCTTGTGTGTGTGTTAGTGCGCACGCGCGCGTATGAGAGAGAGAGAGAGAGAGAGAGAGAGAGAGAGAGAGAGAGAGAGAGAGAGAGAGAGAGAGAGAGAGAGAGAGAGAGAGAGAGCGAACGAACGAACGAGCTTTGTGCTGTGTGTGTGTGTTTATACAGACAGCTTGGCATTCTGGACTGTATACTGGGTGATTTTTGGTTGTGTTCTCTGCTCTAGCGGGACCGGGCGCGGCGGGCAGAAAACGGAGCGGGTTCTCAGGCTAAAACCTGGCGGGTGCGGGCGGAAGCGGGAGCGTTGTCATCCGGAGGTGTGTGTGTGTTTTTGTGTGTGTATGGTATGGCGAGTACACGACTGTCTCCTTCGTTCGGTTATCCGTAGCACTATCCACTCGCCATAGTGTGGCAGCTAAAATCCACGTCTACACTATCGAGTGTGTATGAACTGTGATTACTTTTTAAATTGCTGATTAGCTATTGGCCATTTCCCTCTCTGACTGAAGGCAGTCGACCAATCGCGACAGACTGTCATCGGTCCAATCAGCGCAGATTAGCTCCGCGCTAAGGAGGGGTTTGGGAACAAATGAATCACTGGACGATTCATACAGGAGTCGCTGGGATAATTAGCTAAAAATAAATGCAGATTATAAGACCATGAAAGTGTTTTTTGACCTTGCATGCATATTAGACTGTTGTTGGAGACCCTTACAACCAGGATATGACCTTATTTCATGTATAATATGGGCTCTTTAAGTAAACTTGCTTTTGTAAGGGTTCAAAGTATCTTTAAAAATATACTTAAAAAATGACCTAAAATATACCTGTTTTTGTAATAACACTACATGAAGTATACTTAAATATATAGTTCATAAAACAACCTTACGTATACTTGATTTGTAAGGGTTCAACATAAAGTGAACTCGCATACAAACTTCTAAATTATTTAGATATACTTTAGATATACTTATTATACTTAAGCATACTTCATAAAATGAACTTAAATTATGTTTGTTTTTTTGTAAGGGTTCAACATGAAGTATACTTAAAAATGCACTTCAAAATGATTTAAGTACACCATAAAATGACCTTCAAGTTACTGTTTTTGTAAGGGTACTACATGAATTATACTTTGTGTGTGTGTGTGTGTGTGTGTGTGTGTGTGTGTGTGTGTGTGTGTGTGTGTGTGTGTGTGTGTGTGGTGTGTGTGTGTGTGTGTGTGTGTGTGTGTGTGTGTGTGTGTGTGTGTGTGTGTGTGTGTGTGTGTGTGTGTATATAAACCTGTGGCCGGCAACATTTCTTAAGTATACTTTATAAAATGAATTTAGGTATACTTGTTTTTTGTAAGGGTTCAACATGAAGAGTAAGGCTGTGTTCCAGTCCACTTTTAGACACACACTCGCAAACTTCCCTCTCCCATTTTAAAGTGTGCTCCACTTCATCAAGTCAATGAGGACGGTTTACATGCACACACCCTCGATCACTTGATTTTAATCAAGGAATCAAGTTAGCTTCATATGTCCACTCCAGCACCAACAAGTCCCAGAATGCAATGTGATTGTCACAACAGTGTAGCTAGGGCATTTCATTTAAACCCATTCAGCTGTTCTGCCAGTAGTGCACACTTGTGTAACATAATCAATGTACATCTGACGGAGGGAAGTTAGCGAGTGAAGTCCACAAATAACTGGACAGGAGTGCAGTCTGAGTGTACCTGTGGACAGGTAGTTTGGCTGCAGGATGGGGTGATCTCTGGGGTCTTTACTCTTGAGTTTGAGCCAGCCGACACTGGTGCTCCTCATGGGCCCGACATGAACCTGCACACAAACTCCAGCTCATTCATTCACTCTGCAGCATGACACGAGGGCAAGACCGCAGGAGTGTTTCCATCAGCCCTTTAAACTGTGCATATTTAAAGGGTTCGTTCACCCACGACTGCAAATCCTCCCAATAATCGCTCGTTTACCCTCAGAATGCACATGAAGACATTTTAGATGAAATCCTGGAGCTCTTTCGAACACACACAACACACTAGCTTAGTGTAGTAAACACACACCCTGATCAGATGCAGTGGCTGTTTTTGGAGCTTCTTGTGATTACAGATTTGGTTTTGGTCTTCTTTCACACTAACATGCTGAACAGAATGATAAGTCAGACCTGGAAGGCTTCGATCTTGGAGCTGACGCGTCCGTGATCGATGACCTGCGAGGGCAGGAAGTGGAACTGAATATCGGGATGAGGAACATCGGGCCGGCTGCGGATGAAGCCTCCGCTCTCCAGATGAGCCGTCGCTCCGTAACCTGCCGGAAAACAACGGCTCAGATCATCCTCACGCTTTAATTTAGATACTATTTTTAATTTTGCTGGACATATTAAAGCTGTCCTATATATAGAATATAACTCACACACATTCACGGTGCTAGTTGTTTGGCGTCAGATTGGTGTGTGCTAGCTCTTAAACACTGACCTGTGAACTTGAGCAGCCACTCGAGGCCGATCTTGAGCATCTGTAAGGGTTTCTGGGCTCTGTAGAGAGTGATGGGCTGAGTACAGGCATGCTGAACATACAGCTCTAGATGATCCTGCAGATTACAGCCCACACCTGACACACACACACACACACATGCATGCACACGCACATATACATGCAGACACACAGACATATGCACACACACAAACATACAAACACGCATATGCACACACATATGAACACACACATGCATGCACACACATATATATAGCACATGCACATATACACACAGACATGCGCACAGACATAAACACACAAACACACATATGCACACACACACACACACAAACACATGCATGCACATGCACATATTCACACAGACACACGCACACACGCATGCATGCACATATACATGCAGACACACATGCACACACATACCCAGACATGCATACACACACACACAGACATATGCGCACACACATAAACATACAAACATGCACATGCACACACAAACACACACATGCACACGCACACAAATGCAAGCAAACACATGCACACATGCACACACACATGCACACAGACATATGCGCACACACATAAACATACAAACACATACATGCACACACACATAAACACACATGCAAGCACATAAACACACACATGCATGCACAAACAGACACACATTCACACAGACATATGCACATACACATAAACACACATATACACACACACACACATAAACATGCATGCACAGGCACACACACAAGCACAGACACACATACACACAGACATTTGTGCACACGCATAAACATACAAACAAACACATGCATGCAAACACATGCACGCACACAGAACCATGCACATAAACACACACACACACATAAGCACACAATTACACACAAACATGCACACACACACACACACACACACACACAATTACATGAAAACACACACACACACACACACACACACACACATATGCATGCGCACACACAAAAGAATGCATGCACACGCAGACACACCCACACACACACACACACACATATTACAGGAATATTCCTCGCTATAATGTTTAGTTATATATATTTAATCAATATTTGTAAATACTAAGTAAGTCTACTTATTTGTTCCACTTAAACGACCCCTTTAGAACACATCAGCATGTTTACATAATAAACCTCGTTAAATTAAGCAACTCTTCAAGACAAAACAAGAGAATTAATAAAAACTATTTTGTGATTTCATAATGTAGGGCACATGGCCAGAAACCTGAATACACACCACAATATGAGGTCTGTGGGTCTTCATGATGTAGGTCAAACCGACGCGCATGTACACACACACACACACACACACACACACTGGGTTTTCATGTGTTATGGGCTCTCACTATAGCTGCATTGATGTTTCTGCTGTACAGACTGTATATTGTGTCCTAAACTCAACCCTTAAAGAAGATATTCAGAAGTTTTACACTCTCGAAATACTTCATTCTGTCTAAAATATGAGCCATTTGCCCTCATTAATATTCAAAACTGCTGGTATTACTATATTTTCAACCCAAGCTCATTCTGGAAACGTAGCCCTGTGGACGTTTCTGGAGACCACGATTTACGTGGCCGGAGGTACGTAAGGTCGTGTTTAGTTTTTTTCGAGCGAACGCTGTGGGCGCGGTGTGGCGTCGCTCCGCCCCTCCTCTTCGCGCTCGTCAGCCGACGGCTCGCCTCCGAGTGTCAGGCTTTCCCGATGCAACCAGTTTGTCCGCCTAGCTCACAGCGTTGCGTCGGCGGAGCGGAGGCCCCGGAGGAGGAGGTGCCGGCCGCGGTGGACGACGACCGGGATCGAGTCCAGGGAACGGCGGTTCCGGAAATCAGGTAAGACGAAAAACGGAATCCAAAAAATAAGGGCGAGAACGCGGCGGGATCCGAAAACGCGGTAGAAATCAAAGACGAGGGCTTTTGCTTTTTTTTTTTTTTTTGGACGGCTTTTGCGAACCGTCGCTCGGGTTTAGGGAAGGAGGAGGAGGAGGAGGAAGAGGAGGGTGGCCGAGTCGGCCGATCCGGCAGCTTTTCGCGCGAGAATGGCGCGGGCGCGAACGGTGCGCGCTCCCGAGAGGTGCCCGAGACGCGAAAAAGCGCGCACAGCGGCCTCTCGCGGATCCACGAAAACAAAAAACGCTCGAATACGTACCTCCCGGGATGTAAATCGTGGTCCGCAGAAACGTCCGCGGGGCTACGTTTCCACAATGAGCCCGGGTTGTATATTTTAGTGGACTTTTGGTCCCCACAAAGTATGCAATACCAGACACACACATGCTTTATGTACTCTCCGTTCACCGTCAAACTTAATGGTTAACATTAACCCAAATAATGTTGAACAGATTCAGAAGTTGTTCACAGTATTTCCTCTAATATTTGTTATTCTGGAGAAAGTCTGATTTGTTTTATTTTGGCTAGAATAAAAGCAGTTCTTTAATAGATTTAATAGATAAGGTCAATATTAGCCCCCTTCAGCAATATTAATGTTGGATTGTCTCCAGAACAAACCACTGTTATACAATGGCTTGCCTAATTCCCCGATCTTAACCTTATTAAGCTAGTGAAGCCTTTAAATGTCACTTTAAGCTGAATACTAGTGTCTTGAAGAATATCTAGTTTAATATTATGTGCTGTCATCATGGCGAAATAAATCAGCTATTAGAAAATGAGTTATTAAAACTATGAAATGTGTTTTTACAAAAAAAATAATTTAAAAAATGCCACAGGAGGGCGAATAATTCTGTCTTCAGCTTTATAAATAGGTAATTATAAAAAAAAAAACTACATGAATAATTCTGTCTTTCTGTATATGAAGGGTAATGGTGCTGACCGGGCAGATGCTGGACCACAGGAATGTCCAGGGTTTTCAGCTCATCTGCGTTTCCCACTCCAGACAGCAGGAGGAGCTGTGGAGAGTTGATGGCGCCGCCGCTCAGAATCACCTCCTTCTCTGCAAACACCTGAAGAATCATGATAAGTATGGTAATATTTAGATTTATTTTAATAAATGTATGAACATTTATATGTTTATGTGTGTATTATATCATCTCCATCAAATTACCGAATTCCAGCTTGTGTGTGGTGTGTGTAATGCAGTGTGTATGGCGGCAGGACAGTAACTCTGACTCTATTCTCTCTTCCGGCTGCCGTTATCAGTCTCACACTATTGTGTTCCACTTCTGAAAGTCTTGATAACACCATCCTGGAGTTTTTCTGTCATTATTTCAGCTAATAGGATTGTTAATAAATGATTTATTGCACTCTCGCATGCACTGCGCTCTGAGTTTACCAACTATGAGCACTTCTGATGCACAGGAGAAACATAAGAATGTGGAAAAGGCTCCATAGTGAAGCTGAAAGTATGGAAGGCCGTTCCTGCAACCCAGATTAAATTAAATAAAGATTATTGCCACCTTTTTGCTCAGAATTGTGAGATGTAAACTTAAAATTCAGAGTTATGAAGTCAGAATTGGGAGATAAACATCGTAATTCTGAGTTATAAAGTAACACACACACACACACACACACACACACACACACACACACACACACACAAACAGAGAGAGACTCACATACATGTACAAATAGACAAACAGACAGACACATAGACAAACACACACAGAGTCAGACACACACACACAGACACACACACACACACGTCTGCTTTCTGTAAGAGAGGAAATGCGTGAGTGTGATACTGATGAGTAGATACCTGTGTCTCAAACACACACACACACTCTCCACAGGAAGAGCTGTCTGCTGTTATCAGACACTGCTGGAAAACATTCAACAAAACACTTTATAAAGGTCAAACACACACACACACACACACACTCATGATGGAGACAATCCCGGCAATCACTAAAGCTTTATATCATTGATCAGAAACACAGTCACATGTACTATTATGACATGCTCTTCTGATTTATAGGGTCAGTTCACACAAAAACCCACATTTACTCGCTCTCGAGTTGTTTGAAACTTTTATGAATTTCTGTAAAACTAAACCAGACATTCTGAGCAAAGTCTTGATAACGCCATCGTGGAGTTTTCCTGTCAATATTTCAGCAAATAGGATTGTAGAATGATGATTTGTTGTACTCTCCTGTTCACTGGGCTCTGAGTTTACACACTGTGACCCCTTCTGCTGTGGAGAAACATACAAGTGTGAAAGGGTCCATTAATCCTCTGTGTTCTGACCTTTTTGATCTGTCCGTTCTGCTGGTACTCGACTCCTCGAGCGCGGGCTCCGTCGAACAGCACGCGCGTCACCATACAGCGTACCTCTGTGCTCAGGTTGGGTCTGGACAGCGCCGGCCGCAGGTACGCACTCGCTGTGCTCCACCGCTGACCTGAGGAGGACAAATACACATTACAGCACAAATTAACACTGTGAGTGTATGTGGGTATATAGGCAAGGATCGTGTTCATATGTATAAGCAAGTGTATGTGGGTATATATGCAAGGATCAAGTTTATATGTATAAGCAAGAGTACAATACGTGGTTATATAGGCAAGGATCATGTTTATATATACAAGGGAGTGTACACTATGTGGGTATATAGGCAAGGATCGTGTTTATATGTATAAACGAGTTTATGTGGGTATATAGGCAAGGATCGTGTTTATATGTATAAGCGAGTGTATGTGGGTATATATGCAAGGATCAAGTTTATATGTATAAGCAAGTTTACAGTACATGGTTATATAGGCAAGGATCGTGTTTAAATGTATAAACTAATGTACAGTATGTGGGTATATAGACAAGGATCGTGTTTAAATGTATAAGCGAGTGTACAGTACGTGGTTATATAGGCAAGGATCGTGTTTATATGTATAAGCAAGTGTATGTGGGTATATAGGCAAGGATCGTGTTTATATGTATAAACGAGTTTATGTGGGTATATAGGCAAGGATCGTGTTTATATGTATTAGCAAGTGTATGTGGGTATTTATGCAAGGATCAAGTTTATATGTATAAGCAAGTGTACAGTATGTGGGTATATAGGCAAGGATCGTCTTTATATGTATAAGCGAGTGTACAGTATGTGGGTATATAGGCAAAAATCGTGTTTATATGTATAAGCATGTGTACAGTATGTTGGTAAATAGGCAAGGATCGTGTTTATATGTATAAGCGAGTGTACAGTATGTGGGTATATAGGCAAGGATCGAGTTTATATGTATAAGCGAGTGTACAGTATGTGGGTATATAGGCAAGGATCATGTTTATATGTATAAGCGAGTGTATGTGAGTGTGTATGCAAGGATCGAGTTTTTTTATGTATGTGCTTGTCTTGTGGGTATATATGCAAGGATCGTGTTTATATATATGTGTGTGTTGTTCTGGGTATATATGCAAGGATCAAGTTTATTTGTATAAGCGAGTGTATGTGGGTATATTTGCAAAGATCGTGTTTATATATATATATATATATATGTCTGTGTGTTGTTGTGGATATATATGCAAGGATTGAGTTTATATGTATAAGCGAGTGTACAGTATGTGGGTATATAGGCAAGGATTGTGTTTATATGTATAAGCGAGTGTATGGGGGTATATGTGCAAGGATTGAGTTTATATGTAAGTGCATGTGTTGTTGTGGTTATATATAGTCAAGGATCAAGTTCATATGTATGTGTGTTTGTGGTTGTAGGTATATATGGAAGGATCAAGTTTATATGTATAAGCAAGTGTATATGTAGGCAATTTAAAGTGGTATATGCATGTGTTTTATGTTTGTTATGATAAGTTTGTTTTAAATCCTACATGGCACCTTATATATTTGTTTGGTCTATATGTTAACAATGAAAGGCTTGGCAACATCCAAAGAGAAGAAGGAAAATAAATAAATAAAATCAAGTAAACACCCCCAACTATCCACCTGTACCTTTATGAATGGTCATGTCCATCCAGCCGACCCCCTCCTGCTGGAACCCGTTCATGTCCTCGGTGTAGGGGTATCCAGCCTGCTGTCCCGCCTGGATGAATGCATAGTGCAGAGGGTTTTGTGTTTTCCCTCGGCTCACGTGCAGTGGTCCGTCTCCTCCGCGGTACCGGTCAGGTCCGAGCTCGTGTGTCTGTGCTTTACGGAAGTACGGCAGGCAGTGGTCGTAGTTCCAGCCGTCCGCACCCTCACTCTGCCAGCGGTTGTAGTCCTCTGCGTGTCCCCGGATGTACACCATGGCGTTAAGTGAGGATGAGCCGCCCCAGACACGCCCGCGGGGCCAGTACATCACACGGTCATCCATGTGGGCCTGAGGTAACGTGTGGTAGAACCAGTTGTACCTGGACATATAGCAGTATTCGATAAGTAATGGATAGGTTGGTATCTCAGAATAAAGCCTGACAGGTTTATCAGCAGCCCAATGTGATGCGCAGCCCTGTTACATAGGACTGAAGGGTTTATTCCGAGAAATCAATTGACTGGATGTACTTTATACAGAATATTACAAGGGTACTTACCACAAAAACATCAAACACAAAACATTGTTCCAAGCCCTAATGGTTTTTAAAATTCCTTAATTGAACGAAAAAATGACAGAAACGAAAACAGCTGATGGAGTATACACTAACCTGCGCATTATTCAGCCACTAGATGGCGCCAAACAGTCAAAAACACAAAGCTGACAGAAACGAAAACTGCTGATGGAGTATACACTAACCTGCGCATTATTCAGCCACTAGATGGCGCCAAACAGTCAAAAACACAAAGTTGACAGAAACGAAAACAGCTGATGGAGTATACACTAACCTGCGCATTATTCAGCCACTAGATGGCGCCAAACAGTCAAAAACACAAAGCTGACAGAAACGAAAACAGCTGAATGGAGTATACACCAACCCTGCCTTATTCAGACACTAGATGGCGCCAATTGTAACGTCATGTCAATACAAATAAATGTCATGTCAATGCCTCACCTGTCGTCGCAGAGGTTGTATGTGAGCGCGGCCGGCATGTGGATCTTCCAGGACAGACGTGTGCTGCCCAGGTGCTTGTCTTTGGGTCCCGCTTCCAGAAGCAGCACAGAATCGGATGGGTTCTCCGTCAGCCGGCTGGCCAGAACGCAGCCCGCAGAACCGGCCCCGACTATCACATAGCTGTAGGACGGTGTATTCTTGTTTACCACGGTACTGATGTACCTGTGATGGAGCAGTGGACTGCAGAGGCTGGACATGAGCCTCGTCGAGGAGGAGAAACACGCCATACTGATGGAGAGTATGGAGATGATGAAGATGATGGAGATGATAGAGATGTCAGAGCGGTCAGCTTTCAGAGCAATGCACTGATACTCATCTGCAGCCTTCAGAGAGAAAACACACAATTTATTACACTGCATCAATAACGCTGCATTTATTTATTCACACTGCCCTAACAGCCCCGCATTAATAGCTCTGCATTAATAACACTGCAATAATAACTCTGCATTAATAGCACTACATTATTGACATTGCATTAATAACGCCGCATTTATTTAATAACACTGCCTTAATAAAATTGCATTAATAACACTGCAATAATAATGCTGCATTTAATGATTTATTAACATTGCATTAATGACATTGCATTATTAACACTGTATTTATGTAATAACAAGCATTAATAAAACTGCATTAATGACATTGCATTTATAACACTGCAATAATCACACTGTATTTATTTTATTGCAGTGCATTAATAACACTGCAATATTAACACTGCATTAATAATACTGCAATAGTAATTCTGCAATAATAACACTGCATTAATAGCACTGTATTATTGATACTGCATTATTAACACTGCAATGTTAATTCTGCATTAATAACACTGCAATAATAACACTGCATTAATAACACTAAAATAATAATACTGCATTAATAACATTGAATTATTGACACTGCATTATTAACACTGCATTAATAATTTGCATTAATGACACTGTAATAATAACACTGCAATAATAACATTACATTAATAGCACTGCATTATTAGCACTGCAATATTGACACTGCATTATTAACGCTGCAATAACACTGCATTAATAACACTGTAATAATTACACTGCAATAATAACACTGCATTAATGACACTACAATAATGACTGCATTACTGACACTGTATTATTATCACTGCAATAATACTTCTGCATTAATAACATTGTAATAATAACACTGCAATAATAACACTGCAATAATAACACTGCATTAATAACACTGCAATAGTAATTTTGCATTAATAGGACTGCATTATCGACACTGCATTAATAACACTGCAATAAATATTCTGCAATAATAATGCTGCAATTATAACACTGCATTAATAACACTACAATAATGACTCTGCATTAAACAGTGCATTAATAGCACTGCATTAATAACACTGCAATAATAAATCTGTATTAATAACACTGCATTAATAAAATATTTATTGAATAACACTACCTTAATTACATTGAATTAATGACAATGCAATACTAACACTGCATTTACTTAATAACACTGCATTAATAGCTGCATTAATTACACTACATTTATTTAATGCCACTGCGTTAATAACACTGCATTTATTAAATAACACTGCATTATTAACACTGCATTACTTACACTGCATTTATTTAATAACACTGCATTAGTAGCCCTGCAGTATTAAAACTGTATTTTATTAATAAGTTAACTTAGCAAAGGCAGAGCAATGTCAGCACACAAAAACTGCAGACACACAACACATGAGGAGTGCAGGTGGTTAATGATTGATGCAGAACACTTTAATGTGATCAGGAGTAATGTGTGCGCTCTGCTGTGTGTCTGATAGTGTTGAGTAAATCAATCAAACACACACAATCAGACATCATTCATTCGTCTTCAACCTTTCCGCAGTCAACCCCCCCCCCCCCCCCCCAAAAGGTCCTTATAGTTAAAAAGGAATCTTGAATTTCACTACTTATTCCTATTTAATATTGTGCAATGTTTGTCAGGACAACATTTGCACTGTTGTGGAACCGGGTCAAAGAGAAGATGTCCTATTCTGGTCTTTGAAACAAACAACATGTAAAAACCTCATTTTATACATATCACTTTATATAGATCAATTACTATAGTTGTTGTGTTTCCATAGCAACTGTAGAATCACCACAACAGATCAGTTACTATAGTTGTGTGTTACCATAGCAACTGTAGAATCACCACAACAGATCAGTTACTATAGTTGTCGTTTTAGCATAGCAACTGTAGAATCACCACAACAGATCAGTTACTATAGTTGTCGTGTTAGCATAGCAACTGTAGAATCACCACAACAGATCAGTTACTATAGTTGTTGTGTTACCATAGCAACTATAGAATCACCACAGGTTCATTCAAGTACTCTACTATTGTACAGTTTCAAAACACTACAGTATTTACTATAGACGACTATTTTTTTACACATTCTAATATAGGATATAAATTATGGCTGTATTACACATTAATTGTGTTGATGCATGTCTTCGAAAAAATAAAAGCAAGTCATATAATATTGTTTTAATACATGATACAGTTTTTGCTTGTGATTGGTCAATCCTACAGGTTACTTTGGAGACTTTAGAGCTGATTCTACACCACAATATGAGTCCAGCAGTAGCATCCTCCCACAAGGAAAATAAAATACCATAGTATACTGCATGATTTACTATCGCAAAACTTAATAACTTGTAGTATAGTGTTGTACAATTAAGTGCTTACTACATCTTACTGTAGCACACTATAGTATTTCTACAGTAATAAACCATGGTAAACTTTACAAGGCGCTACAGTAAACTAGTAGACTGTGGTAAACTGTTTTGTATTGGAGTATTCAGTTAATTCTAATATCTACACTTCAGTATTCATAATACTATAGTAAGAACTGTGAAAGGATAATATTGTAAAAGAGCTGCTGTGTGTACAACAGTAAAACACTGTACTTTATAATAAGTAAAATAATTTTTTTAGCAATTAAATCTGATTGCCTCAAAACTGAACTATCAAATATGGATTTAATGAAGTCTAAAATAACCCTGAACACTCTGATATTCCCTATAATGCGATGATAATGAAGTAATTACTTTATTTTACTACACTTTAACACGTCATTGTATTATACTGTGGAATATTTACTATGGTAAAGTTCAAAAACCCTACAATATTCACAACTGGAAATCTAATGCATGTCAATCCCTCTGAAATACCATGGTATTTTCTCACTACGCAAATTCCTGAAGGATTGCAGAACTTATTTGTCTCGTTAATGATTAACAACCCAGACCGAGGCCTTGACTCTTTGCTTCTTGCTAAATATTCAGAGTTGCTTAAGGAATGTTGTCTAAAACCCAAAATAGTCAGCGATCCCCCACGCGTTACTTCATAACTCTTTCTTTCTGTAAAAACAAGCTGAGTTTGGGCTGATATTAAAGCGAAAGCCGCACAATAACATGTAACACTGGTTGAGCTCATGTTTAGTAAAGATATACGCAGTTAAAACACAGTTATTATAAGTAAAATCAGCTTACCGTGCAGTGCTGTAGTGTCCGCACAGCTGACCTATGGAGATGTTGAAGAAGGATTCCTCTGTAGCCACGCCCACTCGAGCGTCCGCAAACACAAAGCTCTCAGCCGTGAGCGAGTCTGATAGTTGGCTCCTCCCCTTTTGTGAGTATGTCATCACAGCGGGCGTGGCTTGTATATCCTCCCACACTCTAGCTTGTGAATTACTTTTACTTGTTGTTCAATCTACTGTTGACATGCACGCCAATAAAATAGGCGCTGTGAAACCGGAGTGACAGCCTTTTGTGCAGAGGTGTGGACACGCAGCGAGTTTTGCAAGTCTTCACAACTGAAGTTGATATAATATGAAGATGATCTTATTTTGACTGAGCAGAAATAATGAACATAGAGTCAGGGAGGTAAGATTTAATAACATTAATTCTCAGCCATGAGTCGGGTCTAAGAGAACAGATAATTCTATATATAAAAGATTTGTTTTGTATTTTATGAAATTGTCTTTAATATTCATGCAAAAGATTTCTTAAATGATCTTAGCATATCACCTCTTCAGTTGAGTCTTTACATTATTTTCCAGTTACATCTAGGATTTATTTCTGTTATTTATTTAGAATAACAGTTGTATAATAATTTTATTTATTTATATATAATAAAATAAATGACTTCTTTTATTTATTAAAAAAAAAAAACATTTATTTATATAAATGGGGATTGCTACTGCCCCAGTAGAGCTTAATGTCTAGAAACACTGCTGGGTTTGGGTTACTTTAATGTATAGACTAGAGCCAAAAATAATACATTTACAATTCACAATTCACATTTGCAATAATTAATTAATAAATTCTAAACTCAAATCATAAATTCAAACACAATTCTTAAATCCAAAACACAGTTAATAAACGCGCAAATTTAAATCGTAAATTCAAAACACAATTTGTAAATTCAAAACAAGTCAAAAGTGCACAAATCCAATTCAGAAATTAAAAAATTAATTCATAAATTCAAAATGTAATTTATAAATTCAAAATGCAATTTGTAAAATCAAAACAATTCATAAAAGTACAAATACAATTTATAAATTTAAAACAATTTGTATTCTCAAAATCCAATTCATAAATTCAAAACAATTCATAAATGTGCAAATCATTCATTCATTTTCTTGTCGGCTTTGTCCCTTTATTAATCTGTGGTTGTCACAGTGGAATGAACCACCAACTTATCCAGCAAATGTTTTATGCAGCGGATGCCCTTTCAGCCACAACCCATCTCTGGGAAACACCCATACACACACACACACTACGGACAATTTAGCCTACCCAATTTACCTGTAGCGCATGTCTTTTGACTGTGGGGGAAACCGGAGCACCCGGAGGAAACCCACGCGAACGCTGGGAGAACATGCAAACTCCACACAGAAATGCCAACTGAGCCAGCCGAGGCTTGAACCAGCGACCTTCTTGCTGTGAGGCGACAGCACTACCTACTGCGCCACTGCATTGACAAATGCGCAAATCCAATTCTTAAATTCAAAACACAATTTGTAAAGTCAAAACGCAATTCATAAGTGCGCACATCCAATTCGTAAATTCGAAACGCAATTCGTAAATTCAAAATGCAATTTGTAAAGTCAAAACAAAATTCATAAGTGCGCACATCCAATTCATAAATTTAAAACGCAATTTGTAAAGTCAAAGCGCAATTCATAAATGCGCAAATCCAATTTATAAATTCAAAACCCAATTCATAAGTGCATACATAAAATTCATAAATTCAAAACACAATTCGTAAATTTAAAATGCATTTCGTAAAGTCAAAACGCAATTCATAAGTGCGCAAATCCATTTCATAAATTCAAAACACAATTCATAAGTGCGCACATCAAATTGATAAATTCAAGACACAATTTGTAAATTCAAAAAGCAATTCGTAAATTCAAAATGCAATTCGTAAAGTCAAAACCCAATTCATAAGTGTGCTCATCAAATTCATAAATTCAAAACACAATTCGTAATTTCAAAATGCAATTCGTAAATTTAAAACGCAATTCGTAAAGTCACAATGCAAGTCATAAGTGTGCAAATCAAATTCATAAACTGAAAACAAAATTCGTTATTTCACTAATAAAAAATTACAAATATTTCACTAATTAATTGGATTTGCATATTTATGAGTTGTGTTTTGAATTTACAAATTGGATTTTGTAAATGTGAATTGTGAGTTTTATTTTTTGCAAATGTATTATTTCTGAGACTGATCTGGCTTCATATTTAACGGGCTATGTGACGATATCATTGATGACTTTGCAGCAAAAATGGCTCGATTTACCCAGATGAAACATTAGGATAATTTGTTTGTTTGTGTGCTGTCTGAATTGTTTGTTTGAGACAATTACATGTTCCAGTGGGCGTAATCAAAAGTGAACCACATAGTTTCTTCTTTATTTCTCTGGAAATTGGGGAGGGGTGTGTGTGTGTGTGTGTGTGTGTGTGTATGGGCTGGTTCACCCAGGTACCATTTAAACTAGAACCGCCACTGGAAACCACACAACTCTTAAAGTTTTTATCGGAACAGCTTAATAGTTTTATGTTTTATTAACTTAAATTTGTAAAAACGTATAAGTTAACCTAATTGTTTTGTCTTGGGAAACTAAAGGAATTGTGTGGAGCCATTAAGACATTATCTGTAGCCTAGATAGGAAAGATTTATTAGGGAAGTTCTGAATGGAAACCTATCCCTGTAGTATTTTGGAGTAATTTACATCCAGTGAATACTGGACTAGTGTGCGACACGGTGGCTCAGTGGTTAGCACTGTGACCTCATAGCAAACAAGTCACTTGTTTGTGTCCCAGCTGGGTCAGTTGGTGCTTCTGTGTGGAGTTTGCATGTCCTCCCCGTGTTGGCGTGGGTTTCCTCCTGGTGCTCTGGTTTCTCCGGTCTCTCAGTTTCTTCTGTCTTGCGAAATGTGTGTATTCCCAAGGATGCACTGACTGTTTTATGGTTAAAAGAAATATTGAGTGTCATCTGCACAATGATAGTGAATGCCTTTAAAATTACTCACATGTTTCCCCAGAGGCAGCAGATACACATAACAAAAAATACAAAAAATAATGGAGCCAGAACAGAGCCCTGGGGAACTCCACAGGACACCGGTGCTGCTGATGAGTTTTAACTCTGAACTTCTGCATGAGAAAACCCTGGCTGATAATGAAAAGAGCTGATAAGGCTTGTTCCAGAGATACTGACCTGCTGTCTAACAGCTCGTTCATCAAAACGACATCGAAAAACACGTCAGAAATGCTAATCGGGTTGAGGTCAAAACCTTGACGTCTATTTGACGTCCACACATTGATGCACTTTTCACCACCAAAATAATGACATAAACAGTAATATAATAATATTGTAAGTAAAAAGTAAGTAATATTGTTATTTATATATTTTTAATAATATTTTTATAATCTAATATTTTATTCATTTAAAAAGCTCTAATTCTAAATTTACACTGAATGTTTTCTCCTAATGCATGTAAACCAGGGGTGTCCAAACTCGGTCCTGGAGGGCCGGTGTCCTGCAGATTTTAGCTCCCACTTGCCTCAACACACTTGTGGGATGTTTCTATTGAGCCTAGTAAGAGCTTGATTAGCTAGCCCAGGTGTCTGATTGGGGTTGGAACTAAACTTTGCAGGACACCGGCCCTCCTGGACCGAGTTTGGACACCCCTGATGTAAACGATATCAAATTAGCTTCTTAAAACATGTCAAAATCAGTTATAGGACAGTTTTGTTATTGATTTTTTTTCCATGTCAATGTTAGCTGTTAATTTGATGTTGTTTTAGCATCAAAGTAGTCTACTGACATCAAATCGATTCACATTTTGGAAGTTTTTGATGTCGCTTTGACGTCTCTTGACTCATTTACAGTAATCAACTGTATCAAAAGCGGCAGTGAGATCCAATAAAACCAGCACAGCTTCTTTCTTTCTTTTTTTTTTTACATTTTCCAAGCAAACAGAAACCAATCTACACTGGAAAATGCTAATAGTATTACCAAAATATGAAGGACTTAACAGAGGAAATGAAATAATACAAACATAAAAAATGAATATAGGAAGAGGAAGAGGAAGATAACCACAGAGCACTCTGCTGCATCGATTTGCATTAACACGTCATTAAAAACTCTAACAAGGGCAGTTTCAGTTGAATGCATGTACTTGAGTGAGAACTGATTGAATACATGATACCTTATTAACAGCTGATCTGGGACAACATTTTTCAGAATCTTATAGCTACAAAAGGTCATTTAGAAACGGGTCTATAGCTGGCCTGTAATAAAAATGAATGGAGTGTTGTTTTCTTCAGAATAGGCTGAACCACAGCTTGTTTATTATAATCTGGCACTTAAACAGGTGCTAATTTATTATAAATAACAGTTAACATACTTGGAACCGACCATTATTTATTAATCGATTAATTAACTGTTTAATAACCGAGTAGGTGCCACATACAGAGGGCTAGTTAAACCTTTCATAGCACTAACTACCATAGAAAAATCCCTCGAGGAGAACAAAACTACAGTAAAATACTTGAATGAATGTGTTGTGGTGATTCTGCAGTTGCTATGGTAACACAACAACTATAATAACTGATCTGTTGTGGTGATTCTACAGTTGCTATGGCAACACAACAACTATAGTAACTGATCTGCTTGTTGTGGTGATTCTACAGTTGCTATGGCAACACAACAACTATAGTAACTGATCTGCTTGTTGTGGTGATTCTACAGTTTCTATGGTAACACAACAACTATAGTAACTGATCTGCTTGTTGTGGTGATTCTACAGTTGCTATGGCAACACAACAACTATAGTAACTGATCTGCTTGTTGTGGTGATTCTACAGTTGCTATGGCAACACAACAACTATAGTAACTGATCTGCTTGTTGTGGTGATTCTACAGTTGCTATGGCAACACAACAACTATAGTAACTGATCTGCTTGTTGTGGTGATTCTACAGTTGCTATGGTAACACAACAACTATAGTAACTGATCTGCTTGTTGTGGTGATTCTACAGTTGCTATGGTAACACAACAACTATAGTAACTGATCTGCTTGTTGTGGTGATTCTGCAGTTGCTATGGTAACACAACAACTATAGTAACTGATCTGCTTGTTGTGGTGATTCTGCAGTTGCTATGGTAACACAACAACTATAGTAACTGATCTGCTTGTTGTGGTGATTCTGCAGTTGCTATGGTAACACAACAACTATAGTAACTGATCTGCTTGTTGTGGTGATTCTGCAGTTGCTATGGTAACACAACAACTATAGTAACTGATCTGCTTGTTGTGGTGATTCTACAGTTGCTATGGTAACACAACAACTATAATAACTGATCTGTTGTGGTGATTCTACAGTTGCTATGGTAACACAACAACCATAATAACTGATCTGCTGTGGTGATTCTACAAATGCTTTGGTAACACAACAACTATAGTAACTGGTCTGTTGTGGTGGTTCTACAGTTGCTATGGTAACAACAACTATACTAATTGATCTGCTGTGGTGATTCTACAATTGCTATGGTTACACATCTTTCTATATAGTTTAATTTAATTTGTTCTGTTCTTCACAAAGCAATTTAGTTTCACAAATACAGTAAACACATGCTTAATAAATAATGCGGATCCTAAATATGGTAAATGCCTTCTGAGAAATTATGCACATAATAATACAGTAAAGCGTGGGTTTCCTCCGGGTGCTCCGGTTTCCCCCACAGTCCAAACACATGCGCTATAGGGGAATTGGGTAGGCTAAATTTTCCGTAGTGTATGAGTGTGTGTGTGTGGATGTTACCCAGAGATGGGTTGCGGCTGGAAGGGCATCCGCTGCGTAAAAACTTGCTGGATAAGTTGGCGGTTCATTCTGCTGTGGCGACCCCGGATTAATAAAGGGACTAAGCCGACAAGAACATGAATGAAATGAATGAATAATGCAGTAAATGCCTGCTTAATGTAATATGTTTGACAAAAACAGTAAACGCCTCTTTAGGAAATAATGCAGATCACAAAGAGGTTAAACTCATGCTTAATAAATAATGTGCACCATAAATACAGTAAGTGCCTCATTAGGAAGTGATGTCGACATTTGTGCTGGAAAACAAGGTAGAAATTCTGAGAAAATGATTAAACATGATAATGAGTGTGTGCGTGAGAGGATGGACAGCAACAGTGTGTGTGCGTGTGTGTGTGTGTGTGTGTGTGTGTGTGCGTGAGAGGATGGATGTGGTTTGTGGGAGGGTGTAAGAGATAAACTAAAGCTGAACGGCTCAGCTCACTGCAGTGTGTGTGTTCAGTCTGCTCAGATGGATCTCGTGCACATCGTGGTGTTGCTGCTCTTCACTCAGGCCAGAGTTTGTTCAGCCAGCAGCAATTCTACAGTGAGTACAGCAGCAGCAGCAGCAGCAGCAGTACTGTACTGTTGAGCAGCGCTTCATTACTAACACTGACTATCTCTGTTTACTGTTCACAGGCCGTCACCTGTCGACTGTCCAGTGAGTCGCTCTCTTTCTTTCTTTCTTTCTTTCTTTCCCTTTTTCTATTCTTTCTTTCCCCTTTTCTTTCTTTCCTCTCCCCTAGTTTTCAACTTTCTTTCTTAGACCTTTTTCTTTTCTTTCGTTCATCTTTTCTTCTTCCATTCCTTCATTTCTTCTTTTCTTTTTCTTTCCTTTCCCTTAATTTTGTTTTTTTTTCTTAGTTCTTTTTTTTCAGTCTTTTTCTTTCTTTCATCTTTCTTTTCTCCCTTCCTCCCTTTCTTCTTTCTTTCTTTCTTTCATTGCTTGTCTTTCTTTATTCAACTTTCGTTTAGTTTTTTCTTTTACCTTCTTTCTTTCATTCTTTCTCTTAATTTCTTTTATTGCTTTTCATTCATTCATTCATTCATTCATTCATTCATTCATTCATTCATTCATTCATTCATTCATTCAGTCTTTCTTTCTTTCTTTCTTTCTTCCTTTCTGTTCTTCCAACATCATGATATAAAACATGGTAAAACTGATTTTAATTTCTACAAAATGACTAAACTAATGGTTTGGGGTTGACAAGCAATTAAACAGCATTTTGGGGACGGGTAAACTAGCGGTGTTGCTGTGGTGAATCTATTATTTAAAAAGTGTTGAGTGTGTTTTTCTGTCATTCCTCTGGTTAACCGCTGCTTTTTTTCTTTCTATAGAGAATAGCATACCTTCAGAATTGTATGAGATCCATAAATGGAACCCTTCACCCATACATCAGCTGACTGCACACCTAAACGAGTCTCAAAACTCAATCATCATCAAATGGGCCATTAGTATAGACAGTAAGAGACATCCGCTATCATCTGTGCAACAGTTTCAAATCAATTTATTCTTATTATTTTTATTTATTTTGGCTTTAATTCTGTATGAACACAATTATAGGCGTAGATAAAACATCTGAACTTGATTTTTTAACTTTTGTGAATGAATTATGTATTTCTCTATGGTTTTAGGCATATTTTGGATATATTAGGCTATTGTTTAGTACTCAAAATCTGAATATTACAGTTAGCTAGATGTACACGGCCAGTCAGAAGTTTGAGGTCAGTTTTTATTTCATGTTTATCAATGCGGCATTTATTAAATGTAAAAAAAGGATTCAATTGGTAAATACTTATTTATGAAATATTTATTTACTGAAAAGTGTTGCATGCAGAACTGTTGCAAACAATTTATTTGTGTTGAATTTAAACAAACAATTTAAGTTTAATAATGTTCAACTTAATTTGTTTGTTTAAATTCAACACAGATAAATTGTTTACAAACACTTAACGTAAAAAAACAAAAATTAGTAAATCCAAGGAATCATCTTTGAATAATTTTTTTCAGTGTACTTGTTTATATTTTTTAATTAAATTATTTCTCCAGTCATTATTACAATTACCATTAATAATAATAATAATAATAATAATAATAATAATAATAATAATAATAATAATAATAATAATAATAATAATAATAATAATAATAATTTTAGAGTGATTTCTGAAGGGTCATGTGACTCTGAAGACTGGAGTAATAAAGCTGAAAATTCATCATTAAAATCACTGGAATGAATGATTAAATTAAACTATAATTAACTTTTGAACAGTTATTTTATAGTGCAATAACATTTCCCACAGTTGTACAATGTGTACTGTATTTATGATAAAATAAATATAGCCTTGGTGAGCAGGAGAAGCTTATTTTAAAACATCTTTTAGTGTATACTACCAAGATTGATTGGTATTTTAAAACTGAAGTAATTGCATTAATTAATACTATTTGTTACATCATTTATCGATCTTTGCTAATACTAGTTCATGAAATGCAACTATTCATTATTAGCTCAGGGCCTTTAAAAATATTAACAAACAATAATAATAATTATTAATTGATTAAACAATATTTAATAAGCATCATGGTGGCTGAACTGAAGGTTGCTTGTTTGAACCCCGGCTGTGTCAGTTGGTGTTTCTGTGTGGAGTTTGCATGTTATTGGCATGTTGGCGTGGGTTTCCTCCACAGTCTAAACACAGTAGTCAAAGGGAAATTAATAAGAAGTCTTGAGATTAGGGTTTGATTTGGAGAGGGAGGAAGCGGTGTTCAGTTTCTTCAAGATAAATCTGACTTCCTTTCTGAAAAGCTTGCAGATTTACGTAAGTGTGGATAGATGAATAGAGCAGATAGGACTTGATGTTGCTGTATTTTCACAGATTGCATGTAATCAAACATTACTTAACATTTACAGTGGATAATGATTTAGTGTGCATTGTCTTTTTAGGCAGCATTCAAAATCTTACCGGCACATGGATTAATATTCCCTGGCTCGATAAAAGTTATAGATGTGAATATGAGCCTCCATTTACATCAGAGCTAACCAAGCCGAGCAGCATACAGCAGGTAAACACATGATCAAATACATTCCACACAAGCACTGGGAAAATGACAAGCATTCATTTCAGACGTGGAACATTTATTTAAAACCCTGCAACATTTACTGCAACAAGGATTTTCTTACTCAGATACTTACAGTATAGTATATTTCATTAGTTGATCAGCAAATAAATCTTTAATCTTGAATAAAAATTAAAATAGCAAATATTAAGCAATGACGAAACCAAAAAAACTACACTTTTTTTTATCAACGCTCATGTAGTTTTTCTTCTAAAGTAAATTTACATTTTTTAAATATTTAAAGCTATTAATTTATTTTGGCCGTTTAATAGTATAATAAAAAAATAATGTATAAATAAATAAATAAATAAATAATTGTCAGTAAGATATTATTTTGCAGAATTCAAAACATTTTTGGATTTTCCTTTATAACAAAATAATAATAATAATAATACCAAAAATAAATAAATAATAAATAATAATAATAATTTATTTTAAATAAATAAATAAAAATCCTAAGATATATAATTCAGCAGAAATTCAATATGTTTTTTGGATTTTAAACAGTATACCAAAATAATAATAATAATAATAATAATAATGATTATATATATATATATATATATATATATATATATATATATATATATATATATATTATTAATAATAGTAATAATAATAACAATACATTTGAATTAATAAATAAAAAACACTAAGTTACAAATTTGCAGAAATTCAAAAGTTTTTGGATTAAACCCTAACCCTAACAAAATAATAATAACAATTTTAATAAACAATTTATAATAATATAATAATAATAAACATTTTATTATGTAAAAATACTAAGATATTACTTTACATAAATTCAATATGTTTTTTACCCTTATAATGAAATAAAAAAACGATTAAATAATAATAATGCATTTTAATAAATAAATGAAAATAATTAAGTATTTTTAACCATATGGTAAAAAATTTATATACTAAGATATAATAAAAAAGAAATTCAAGAAGTTTTTACCCAGGATTTTAACCATATTATAACATATTAATAATAATAATAATAATAATAATAATAATAATACATTTTAATAAATATAAATTCAAAGTAAGATATAATTTTGCACAAATTTAAGGCATTTTTGGATAAAATAAACAAAATAAATAAATAAATAAATAAATAAATAAAATGAATGAATGAATGAAAGTACTAAGATAACATTTTGCAGTCTTTGGATTTTAACCATATATAAAAATAATAATAAAACATTTGAATAAATAAAGAGAAATAGTGAGTAAGACTAATCAAAGCACACAGAAACTCTGATTGATCCTAATTAATCTCATTAATAATAATAATAATAATAATAATCTGATTATCTTCTTCTTTGACAGCTATGGTTCAGCTTCACGGTGTCCAATGTTTGTCCTCTCCTCGAATACGACATAGACGCATATAATCTTCCCACACCACCGACAGGAACAGGAGACATTTATATAAAGCGGGCTAATACAGGTCAGACTGATTTCTGCTGTTACACACATCATTTCATCTTCTCTGTTGTGTGTGACTCGACTGCTGATCATTAAAACTATGAGGCATGTCCAGTTTGTTCTCAGCTGACAAATTAATTCAATATTTAGCAGACGAATGTGATACAAAACTTACTGACCTGAAGTCTGTGGAATTCCCCAGTGAATGATGTTTGGCTCTATATTAATATATCTCTTATATTAATGATCTAATATTGTTTCTGCAACGTTGTCTGCGAGTTATAAAAACGTTATTGTGGAAGATTATTTTCCAATATTCATTAGATCTATTGTGTAGACAGTGTATTAATGTTGTTTTTCTGGTTATAAATTAAACATTAAAATAAAATAAAAGATTGTTTTTTTTAAATAGAGGCAGTGGTGCAGTAGGTAGTGCTGTCGCCTCATAGCAAGAAGGTCGCTGGTTCGAACCTCGGCTCAGTTGGTGTTTCTGTGTGGAGTTTGCATGTTCTCCCTGCCTTCACGTGGGTTTCCTCCGGGTGCTCCGGTTTCCCCCACAGTCCAAAGACATGTGGTACAGGTGAATTAGGTAGGCTAAATTGTCCGTAGTGTGTGAATGAGTGTGTGGATGTTTCCCAGAGATGGGTTGCGGCTGGAAGGGCATCCGCTGCGTAAAAAAACTTGCTGGATAAGTTGGCGGTTCATTCTGCTGTGGCGACCCCGGATTAATAAAGGGACTAAGCTGACAAGAACATGAATGAATATTCGTGAAATACTGAACATCATATAAATGTTGCAGAAATGGACATATTCATTGATGAACATTATCTTTTATCTTGAATGTTTAGAAGCTTCTTCTCTGAATTATTGATAAGCATAGCAGAAAGCAACAAGACACACAGTATGAGCCCTTCACTGAGTAATTCTCTTAAAAGCAGAGAGACGCTGTGGGCTAAAGTAAAAGCCAAACTGTATTTTTCCTGTCAATTAGACGACTTCAGAGCTGAAAGATTTTCATGATAACCGGCTGTTTTCCCACTTAAGAAAGTCAATCAGATCTTTAGGGAGGATTTCTGAGAACTGTTTAGCGTCGTGCAGCTAGAGGAACCATTATCTCTTCATGAGCGACACAGAGGCTGACTTTCATTAATGCTTACTGAGAATTAGTTATATTTGCTAAGAATAAAACAAACAGCATTACAATCTGTCACTTATTAATACGTCATTTACATTTCTAACAGAATAAAAGACTAAATTCCTGTCTCTGAAATGAGATATGTACGTCTCTAATAGGACAAGCCTGTTTTTATTTTTATTATATTTATGTCATCTAATATTTATATCTCGTAACAGAACAAAACTGATAGATATTTAACTGTGAATTGAGTTTTTAACAGAAAACTACCATATTTCATTAGTTTTTTTGTGCATATTTTGGAATAAGAATATTTTATTTATTTATTTATTATTTTTTTTCAATAAATATATTATTGAAATATATATTTTGAACCATTCCTTTTTGGAATTTGAAATTAATGTATATAAATATATTTAAAACATATTTTGTATTTTCAACACAATCTCGCAGCAATTCGTAACTTTTTGATTCAGTGGCTAATTCGTATAAATTTGTACGATCTAATTCGTACAATTTAGTACGATATGCTCATCATCAAGTGACGGTTGGGGTTAGGTTAGGTGCCACGCCTCCTTTTTTAAATCGTACATTTTCATACGACTGAACTCGTACGAATTCCTACGAATTCGCCACTAAACTGACAAAACGTAAAATACTTACATTTCCTCGTGAGATCAGGCTGGTATTTCTTACCTCACTCTAAGAAATGCTGGGTCATTTAAACTCAAATTGGGTAAAATATGAACTAACAATGCATTCAATTTAGTATTATTAATTTAACAAAAAAAATTTTACTTAGCAGTTGCTTTGAGAGGGGTCTGGCTGCAGACTCGGTGCAGTGCGATCTGAGCTGCATCCAATGCTTTTTAATGTGCTCACCTAACCCCACCCGTCACAGTGACGTCACTCACTGCATTGTGTCTGACATTGCATCGCTGAGTGATGCAATCTCAGCCTGCATCATAAAGGCTGCATCCAGATACTGTTGTTTGGTTTAGTCCATATTACATCCAGAATTGGGCTGACATAACCCAGCACTTTTAGAGTACATACTCTGTGATTAAGTCGAACACTTATTAAATGCTCATTGAGCTCAAATGTTTTCTTTGAGAGGCAGAGTCATTTTTAGGAGAGTTTGTGTTCTGGTTTTACTATATCTAATGTCTTTCTGACTACAGTCATTGTTTTTGGAGGCTTACAGCTCCTCTTCCCATGTGATTGTTGTTTTTACAGCTAAACTTGAGTGGAACGCTCTGATTTCTGCTGTCTACAATGGAAAAAAAGTGGTGGTGTTATTTAACGTGAGCTCAGTGGCGGATAAATACATCATCACACTGGAAGAAGACACACAAACACTCAGCACGACTGAGGAAAGACGGGTATGTGTGCTGCTGAAATCACTGAACACCAGCAGGAGAGCATGACCAGCAGTAAAATAGACATTTAGATTTAAAGTAAATGTCACGTTAAGCATGATAAAAACAGAACAAAAACAGGAACAAAAAGGGTACGGATCCAAGTGCAGATTTAATATTAAATAGTGCGGTAACAGTGAACAAAATCCAAAATCCAAAGTGCAAAGTAACAAAATAACAAACAAACAACAAAACAAGAAACTAAAACAGATTAAACACAAACTAGACTTAAGCAAGATACAAGAGCGAGATCAAGAACAACATACCAGAGCTGACAAGATAGACAAACGACGCAGTAACAAACAGAGGTGGAATGGTAATATATAGTCCAGGTAATCAACGGAGATTGGAGACAGCTGTGGTTGAAATCAGTGTAGATGACAGACCGGGTGTGTGCACGAAAGAATGTATGGAAATGTAGTCTTTTTGGGCGCTGTAGTTTTACTCAGTGTCCATTGAACTACAGCGCCCTCAGGTGGTCACTGACAGTCATGACAGTAAAGCTGAATTATCACCCTCTTATGAATTTATTTACAAATATTTCCCAAGTGATGTTGAACAGATTCAGGAATTTCTCACAGTATTTCCTCTAATATTTTTTCTTCTGCAGGAAGTCTTTTTTGTTTTATTTCGGCTAGAGTAAAAGCAGTTCTTAAATGTTTTAAAGTCATTTTAAGGTCAATATTATTAGCCACCTTCAGTAATATTAGTGTTGGATTGTCTCCAGAACTCACCTGCATAATTACCCTAACTTTAGAAATGTGCTGAACAAATCTTCGTTAAACAGAAATGAAGCAGATAATACAGAAGAACAGTTCAAATTTAACAGGAAACACATCAACACACTCAAATCAAAGTCTGCAGCTTCTTCTTCTTCACGCTGATTTTTAATTGTTCATTTTTCCACCTACAGGAATGCAAATCTGAGGCCTGTAAAGTGGAACTGGACTACACGGGTCCATGTGAAGAAAACCTTCTGATAATAGTAGGACTATAAATAATCCTGTTTTTTCCTTTTGACGGAAGATTATTCCGCTTCTCCCATTGGCAGATTATTTTGCTTGTTTTAAGGAAAAACTCGCTTCATTTTGGATCATTATTTCTGAAAACAAGACCATACTTATTGCTTGTCTAGAAAATGCTGCTTGATTTAAGAGCTTTTAGATATCTGGACTAGAAACAAGTCTCAAGCTTTAAGCATTTACAGTATGTGTATTCAAAAGCATGCTGGAGTCGACCAGTCAAGCCGAACCTGGAAGTTTAATAGGACTTGTTGTTTATTCTGGTGTGTTTCTGACAGATAACAGCACACTTTAAACACTGTGAGGGGGAAAGCAGCCCTTCGGTTGAGAGTACAGTGGACTGTAAGAGTGAGTATCCATTAATGGCTTATATAGTAAGTAGGCATGGGCCGGTATAACATTCTGACAGTATGATAACCTATCACAGTTTCAAGATATTGTGATTACTGCTCTAAAATATTCATTCATTTTCTTGTCTGCTTTGTTCCATTTATTATTCCGGGGTCGCCATTCCGCTGTGGTGACCCTGGATTAATAAAGGGACTAAGCCGACAAGAAAATGAATGAATGAATGAATGAATGAATGACAGGAGGGCGGTCAAAAGAAACCCACCATAAATTCAGACGGATAAAAAACTAAAATATTAATAACATTGAAGATTTTTTTATTATTTTAGTTATTTTTATACATTTTAATAATTATAAGGATTTTAAAACCATTCAAGATGTTTTAAATAAAACTTTAATGCACCACTTGGAAAACAAGCATCAGTATAGTGTAAACCGACAGGTTGAAATATTCTTATCCAGCTATCGGAGAAATCATGTGTGTTTTATAACTATTACATTTGTTTTAAATTCAGAATTGTAATATATACATCAGTGTAAAACCTGAATGTTGGAAAAACATATCCTGTAATTGTGTATACGGGTCTCCAGGGAGAACATGCAAACTCCACACAGAAACAAACTCAAACCAGAGACCTTCTTGCTGTGAGGCCACAGTGCTAATCACTGAGCCACCGTGCCGCCCTTATTAAACTGATTGTATTCTAATTACATTACAACTGTGAAAAGGACGCTCATGAAATAGAAAATAGTCGCATTAACTGTTCACCAGAAGTTTATCAGTGGCTGGAAACACAGCGGCTGTGCATATAATCCACCGGTGTTGTAATAGTGTGTCTGTTTAGTTTATCTGTGTGTTGGTTTCTGCAGTTTCAGATGGATCTGTTTTGCTCATCGGTGTCGGATGTGTGCTGACGCTGATCTTCATACTCCTCTGCTGCTGCATCATCTGTGAGTTACCAAGACAAACACAAGAAATCTGTCTGCTACATAAAACCCTACCAATATACTATCAGAATGTGTCACATGTCTCGTATCTAGTCCAGATATCTACAAATTCATAAATCAAGAGGCATTTTCTGGACAGGCGACAAATATTATCTAGTTTTCACACACAAAAAGTCTTTCATTAAACGTCTGCATGAACCGAAAGCTGCGACTGTTTTTAGTTTTTGTATTGTGGCGCATTTCCAAGAGAAACAGCATATTAAATAAGAAAGCAGTGGGCGGGGCTTGTTTTTCTACTGCGAGCTGATTGGATGCAGTAAAGTAGGCGTGTCATTCAGAAAGATGGGGAAAGGGGTTTGGGGAGAGTTATTACAACCTAACAGACTCCTCCTCCTCCTCCTCACCGCTTCTGTTTGCTGTCAAAACTGACAGCTGGAGGGGCGTGGCTAAGTATGTTAGCCCCTCCCACTACCTCAGATAGAACTAATCTGAGAATTGAACTCAAAACAAACAGGAAGTGCATTTGCAGATTTCAATTAAAGATGACAAGAGCAGACTAGTGTTTTCTTTCTGTCGCACAGATGAACTGTTCAACACAAAACTAGCAATGCGAGCTGACAGAGTCGATGTGGTTAGTTTGATTTCATGTGTACTTTAAAGGGCTCCTATGATGTAAATCGTCTTCTGTGCGCTGTTTGGACAGAGCTGTGTGTAGTATAGCGTGTCCACAGTAATATTGGGCTGATATAAACATAGTAAGTCTCTTTATTTAAATTTCCTTATGTTAAAATGAGATCCAAATCCCTCCCATTTTGAGGCCGACTGCAACGTGATGCAGGAGTGTGGTTTCCCCGCCCACCGAATTGATTGACAGCCACGCATTAACATGTCTCCACAGTAATGTGTATAATTATATCCACAGGACAGGGTGTGAGCAAAACAACCGGGACTAATTAAGATCTGTTCAGCTCTCTGTGATCACCACAGAATGAGTTTCACAAGTTTGACGCGTTTAAAACAGTGCATGCTTGTAATAAACACAGTAAAATCGCTGTAATTCATCACCACAGCCGTGTGTCAGCTCATTTATAAAAGAAGATGCTAAATCAGGTTTATTCTGTACATTGCGTGTCTGTCACTGTGCTGTTTATCTGACCGAGGCGGAGATTGAGGCACACTCTGACAGACACGTGGTAACGGTCAGAGCCGGCCCGTGGCATAGGCACCATAGGCAAATGCTAAGGGCGCTGTACATCCAGGGGGCGCCAGAAATGAGCGCGGTTAAGTTGGCTATTCCTGACACATTCAGTGATAGACGGCAATAACTCAAAAACCTCTTACCCTAAATACATCTAAAGTGTGTTTCCTACAAAAAGACAAAGCTGGTTATGTTTCACAGCTGTGTTTTTCTTTTTTTTCACTTGAGATTACGAGCACTGCTCCGTTTAGCCGGGAGAGCTCGCGCGGAGTGGAGCTCCCAGTAAGGGATCGTCGGAAAAGTGCTTCTTTTTTTTTTTTTTTTTTTTTGCTCTGTCCTGCGTGTTTTATTTTAAACACAACTAATTTTCTCTTAAATGAGCACAAACAGTTACTAAAGTAGTCGAATGCTTCATTCATTCATTCATAAAGATCTGTGCATTCTTACATTAACACCTATCAAAAGCCTCTTTAGCTGCTCCAGAACGCAGCAGCACGAGTGGTCTTTAATAAACCTAAAAAAGCACATGTCACTCCTCTGCTCATCCGTTTGCACTGGCTGCCAGTTGCTGCTCGCATCAAATTCAAAGCTCTGATGTTTGCCTACAAAGTGACTTCTGGCTTCGCTCCTTCTTATCTGCTTCTCACTTCTGCAGATGTATGTGCCCTCCAGAAACTTGCGTTCTGTGAATGAACGTCGCCTCGTGGTTCCATCCCAAAGAGGGAAGAAATCACTTTCCCGAACTCTCGTATTCAATCTGCCCAGTTGGTGGAATGAACTCCCTAACTGCATCAGAACAGCAGAGTCACTCGCTGTCTTCAAGAAACCACTAAAAACTCAACTATTTAGTCTCCACTACACTTCCTAATCTGCAATTCCCTCTCTGAATATCACACTCTACCCAAAAAAAATGTAAAAAAAAATACTAATGCTACTAATACATTCCTTCTTAGACTTTACAGACCTGAAACTCGCCTACAGCACTTCTTCATTGTTGCTCTTATAGTTGTGTAAATTGCTTCCTTGTCCTCATTTGTAAGTCGCTTTGGATAAAAGCGTCTGCTAAATGACTAAATGTAAATGTAAACAAAACACAACGAGAGATTCATCTGCTGCTCTTCACTAAATAACTATAGTAACTTTAATCAATATGCAAATACAATTAAAAGTTAAACCGATTTCATAGCTTTATTTAATTTCTGTATAAGCCATTGTTTTTATTAGGTTAAACCTTTTATTTTATTGTCAATATTTTCTATTGTCTGCTATGTATTCTATCATTTGAAGCTATTTGTTGTCCCATATTTTTTACATCCCAATGTTGACAGATATGGCATAACATTGCTAATCATTAAATAGCTATAGTGCTCTCTGTTAGGTTTAACGTCAGCTAATGTTATGGAAGGGTATAGATGTTTTGGAAAATAGTAATATTAATGTAACTACCTCCATCATTCTTCCTCAAGCAAATGTGTAAATATTAGATCTATTCAGCAATAATGTTAATTGCATTGGCATATTTATCTGACGTTTTCCCAGCTTGTAGTAGTCGATCAAAAAGCTGTTTAGTTTCTTATGACTATACACTAGCTGTGGAGTTACTGCGATGTGACGGGCGCCAAACTGGTCAGGGCCGGGCCTGGTAACGGTGGGCGGGGAGAACCAGCATTAAAGGCACAGGCAACAAAAACAGCGACAAGATGCTCAGAGCTGAAAAATACAAACTTCTGAAAAGTCTATTAAATAATCTGATGGTGTTTTGAGCTGAAACATTTCAGACACACTCTGGAGACTGATCTTACATCTTGAAAAAGGGGTAAAACCCTTTAAAACAAACTAAATAATCTGCCAATATCAGCAAAATAATGTTATGTCAAGTTGAATGTCTGAATGTGCAAATATAAACACACTGTGCCCCAATTCGCTGTGTTTATAGCCTGTGTGTGTGTGTGTGTGTCCTCAGGTCAGCTGCAGCGGTGTGTTTTAATGTCGAAGCGCAGTGTGTCAGTGCGGGTCTTGCTCCTGTATCCGGCGGTGGACGCCGTGTTTCAGCGCTCAGTGATGCTGCTGGCTGAACTCCTGCAGAGCTACGGCGGTGTGTGTGTGTTCGTGGACGTGTGGGACAGCAGGAGTGTGGCGGAGCAAGGCCCACTGCGCTGGATCAACACACACACCGAGCTGGCGGACAGAGTGCTCATCGTATCGCCGCCTGCACGCAACCACGGTAAAGCTGCTTTTACATGCACACATTATGCAAACATCACTTTTATAAGGGGTTTAAGTGAAGTTTATTTATATAGTAATGTCGAGAGGGTCACGTGTTTATGATTGATCACAGCCGGTCCTGCATTATTCGATTTATGATTGACCAATCAGACGATTCCTAAGCCGCTATAAACACCCTCAGCTCCATATCACAGCCATCTTCAGTTTAAAGACTCCCCCCTTCCACCCCTACTCCTCCTCCTTTCCTAGATGGGTGGCACGGTGGCTCAGTGGTTAGCACTGTTGCCTCACAGCAAGAACTCCGCTGGTTCTAGTCCGTGCCAAGCCAGCTGACATTTCTGTGCGGAGTTTACACGTTCTCTCTGCTGGACTTTAGAGCAGCTTTTAGTTGGTTAATGGAGTTGTTGGTCTATTTCAGCTCCTCAGAATAGCAGCGCTCCAATAACAAGCTTTCACACACCTCCACATTGATTAAGTGTTAGCCTGAGGAATCCTGTTGGTCAAACAACCTGTAATATCATGCTCATGCTCCCCTTTTGAAAAGCTTTGAAACAGGACTAGATATTGTTGCAGTCGCAGCATGTTTCCCCTCCTCTGCTTCCCATCAGCACTCAAGGTTTTTTTGGGTCAAGATGCACTCCAATCCTCAACATAAAGCGTTGAACTCGTGTTTTGAAAGCTCTGTGGTTTAGGTTTCTGCTTGCATTCATTTTCTCTGGATTTTTTCTTCATATGCATGTCTTGCAATTTCAGCAACTTCTATAGTCTTTGATAGGACTGCACCCAAATAAATTTCCCCCAAAATTCTAAATGCAACGGCTTTAAAATAACTGTTTACTATTTTATTAAATACATTTTGCAAGGCTTTAAATTTAACTTGATGGCTGTTGCTCAATACCAAGTATGCAAATTTCAGACTTGCCAAGTTTACACTGAGTCGGGTTCTTTTTTAAATGTACTGCAGTGTACTTTATAACGTCACTTGCCTCATCATGAATTCATCAGTTTCACTGTACATTAACAATAAAATGATTTAAGCATATAAAGCTCAGCTTTATAATTAATACTATACTGATATTTTAAATCAATATGTTTGATTTAAGAAAATGTGAACATAAATGTCTATAAATGTGAAGTGAAATGTGTTATTATACACAGACTCGTGTCTGATTATCCGATTTAATAAACTTCAATGGACATTATGCAAGTATAAAGTACAAGGCGTAAACATTAAGAAAGATAACGTTAAGCAATTTGGTGAAAACAAAAGACAAACAGCTTACAAAACGGTAACATAGTTATTTTTTTGTGTATACAGCTGTTTATTTTTCACCAATTTCTGTTTAGCGGAGAACAGATTTCTTCAGCACATTTCTAAGCATAATAGTTTTAATAACTCATCTCTAATGACTGATTTATTTCTCTTTGTCATGATGACAGTAAATAATATTAGACTAGATATTCTTCAAGACATTTCTATACAGCTTAAAGTGACATTTAAAGGCTTCACTAGGGTAATTAGGTAAGTTATTGTATAATGATGGTTTGTTCTGTAGACTATTGAAAATAAATATAGCTTGAAGGGGCTAATAATTTTGTCCTTAAAATTGTGTTTAAAAAATTAATAGCTGCTTTTATTCTAGCCGAAATAAAACAAATAAGACTTTCTCCAGAAGAACAAATATTATCAGACATACTGTGAAAATCTCCTGAATCTGTTCAACATCGTTTGGGAAATATTTAAAAAAGAAAAAGAAATTCAAAGGGTGGCGAATAGTTCTACAACCGTAGGCCCGTTTTGGCAATTCCATAATGAGTTTTTTTTAATGTGATATTCCAAAATGTGCATTAAAAATAGGTGGATAAAAACAGTTAGTGACTACAGCTGGAGGGAGAGCAAAACACTGCATTTTATCTATTTTTTGCAGTTTTTCCTCCTTCAAACTAAAACAGAAAGTGCCGTTTTCAGTCCATACTTTTTAAAAAAATGTAATGCATGCCTAATCTTTGTTAATCATTGCCATTTAGATACTTTATATAGACTGGAACAAATGCATTTCTTACTGTCTTCTTGCACAAATATCTACAAATTCTTTATTCAAGAAGCATTTTCTAGATAAGCACTGAATATAGTCTTGTTTTCAGAATTAATGTGTCAAAATGAAGAGAGTTTCCCCTTAAAACAAGCAGAATAATCTGACAATGAGGGAAGGAACAATCTTGTTTTGGTTGTGAGATTATTTTTCTTCCCCTATTGGCAGATTATTTTGCTTGATTTAAGGAAAAACTCTTCATTTTGACACATTAATTCTGAAAACAACACAATATTTAGTGCTTCTCTAGAAAATGCTTCTTAATTTAAGAGTTTTCTTATAATATTTGGTCTAGAAATGAGACTATTTTTCAGTATTTATCTTCTTCTCTCTCTGCAGATGATCTTAAACCTGACGTTGTCTCCGGCATGACGGATCTCAGTGTTTCAGCTTCCGCCAGCAATCTGTTCACGCTGGCCTTAAACCTGGTCAGCAGCGCTGCCAATGACCCCCAGGGCCGAGACAAGTTCTGGGTCATTAACCTGGGTCAAGAGGAGAAGAGCGTTCAGCCTGAACTCAGAGGTTTGAGGGTGTTTAATCTGCCCAGAGACCAGGAGAAGCTCCATCAGCAGCTCATGGCTGGAGAAACGAGCATCAACACATGCTGCAGCACTTTCTACATCAAAAACACTCTGAGGAAGATGGAGATCAACACTTCTCAATGTGTGTGAAAGCCCCAATCCTGATTTTCTTTTTGATAGTAGGCTCCCTTTACAGCTCTTTTATAGTTAAATTAATGAGTTTGACTCTTTTTGAATCCATTCAGCCGATCTCCAGGTCTAGCGGAAACACTTTTAGCTTAGCTTAGCATAGATCATTGAATCGGATTAGACCGTTAGCATGTCACTCAAAAAATGCGCAAAGAGTTTTGATAATTGTTCCTATTTAAAGCTCGACTCTTGTGACGTTTCATAGTGTATTAAAGGGTCATGACACCCCCCACTTTCAATTCAGGTCTAACTCAGAATTTTTCAAAAGATGCATCGTAATGGGGGTGGAGCTCCGCGATCAGAGGCAGGAGTGGGCGTGGCCAGCAGAGCAGGGGAGAAGGAAAGGAAAAGGAGATGCAAACCGTGAGGAGACGCATGATTTGATAGTTTACAAAGTTAAAATGCAAATAGATAAACTAATTTAATGCCCTGCGACATTTGTTATTCGTAATTTCATGTACAGATAACCTCAATTTAAATCATTATAAAGATAATCGTGTTCATATAAGCACAATAAATGAGAATTCTCCCTCAATCCCCGGGTCTGAATGCAGACTCAGTGCAGCAGGTCTCTTGCCCTGTCTGTTTTAACCATTAGTCCTGCTGGTAATCTGGAGGATGTAGGTGAACACAGCAGCACGGCGATGTGTCTAAATGTGAACGAACTCCACTGATAAAGGACAAAGTCCGCCATACTCGTACTGCTCTCCCGACAAAAATGCTTGCTGCACATAAACAGCTTTGCTGTATCGGCCCTGACAGCATCGCCGAGAAAAACATGCAACAAACCCCGTGGATCAGGGAAACAAACACAGACGATCCTTCATGAACAGCTAAATACTGTGTGCCGTGGGTCCGTAAACGCGTCTCACCCAGTCATCAACATAGGATCTCCCAGCTTGGCACTGGCAGGTCTGCCTTGCCTTCGGAAAGCACGTGCAGTCATGAATAATTAAGCAGCCGGCTCTTCTCATAGGATAAGAAAACTCCACTATGAATATTAATGAGAAACCGACGCGTCATCTTTGCACTTGCAGTTTTGCGCTACGACGCCGATTTTGATCCGCCCCAAAAATCAATTTAAAACCGGAAGCTGAAATGAGCTGACAAATGCTCAAAATGATCCAGTTTTCCCACAATTAAAGCCGACAGCTGCTAACATTGTCTTAACTGATGCTCAACACACACACATCTGTTAACAACCCCAAAAACAGTACTCGAGGGTTTCTTAAACCTTTAAGACCGGCTTAAAAAAGGTAACATTGCTATTTTTGAGGCTGATATGGCTAGCAATTATACTACTGAGATCTGTAGGCTCTAGATCAGTCATGAAGCGTTGTCGTACAGTGTTCTGCTGGAGTTCATCAATAGTCCTGCATTCACTAACACACACTATATCTGAACTGTTTGGAAAGTAATTTGTGCTTCATCCTATAGAAAAACATCATAGGAACAATGTTTAGTGGCTCAGTGTGCTACAGAAGTGTTTTTAAAAGTCTAAACGCTTTATTAATATAGTGTGCATCCAAGCCAGCCTGATCCTAGAGAAAACGTAAGTCGTTTTGCCAGTTTAGTGGCTAATTCACACGACTACGTACGAGTTCTGTCGTAAGAAATTGTACGATTTTAAAAAGGAGGCGGGGCACCTAACCCCACCCCTAAACCCAACCGTCATTGGTGGATGAGCAAGTCATACTAAATTGTACGAATTAGATCGTACAATTTCATTCGAATTAGCCACTGAATCAAAAAGTTACGAATTGCCGTGAGATTGTGTTGACTAAGCACATGTGGTCAGAACACAAACGAGTCGCAGGTAATGAAGTATTCAGCATTTCTCCTAAAGAAAAGCCCATTTAAGCAAAATGCTAGCAGGGGTCTGTAGCTCCGCCTCTTGTTTGGTTACTCGCGATGATGCGCAAACAAAATGGTGACAGTTGGCCACGCCCACTCGTAGCTTCATTTGCACAGAAACCTATGGGTGACGTCACGGTTACTATGTCCATATTTTTTCCAGTCTTTGTGCCAAGCGATAGTACGCAGAGCCTGAAATTCGGCAATATTTTGCATACAACTATATCATAGCATTTAAGACAAGGGCCTTACATTTCTCTGAATTGATTTATATATATATATATATATATATATATATATATTTTTTTTTATAATTATTGTTTTTTTTTTAGGGGTTTTTCACCTTTTATTGGGATATGAGAGTGGAGGACAGACAGGAAAGTATTAGGACCAGAGAGAGGGGAAGGGTCAGCATAGAACCTCGAGCCGGGAATCGAACTCGGGTCGCCGTGAGCACCATGGTGCTCTTTGTCGGCGCACTTAACCACTAGGCTATTGGCACCGACTCTGAATTGATTTATAAACAGTTAATACTTTTGTAAGACCCCACGAACACGAGTCCGGCCAGAAATTGGGTCAGATTGAGGGTTGAAATACCGTTTTCTGCATATGTTTCTGTGCATATGTACTGTATATGATTGTAATTCCATGTCATGACCTGTTTAATCGATTTGGTGATTCCCAGAATGCTCCGTTGAACACGATGTGGTTGAAACTACAGCTCTCAGCATGTGGTTAGAGATGCAGTTTCTTAGTAGTGTGAGATTATGAGCAATAAAAAAGCAGCCATTCGTTCTGCTCACCACATGCCATAGAGATTGCTCTATGGAAAATACATAATAATAAATCATTGTTAATGCAGTTTAACCAGTCCAAAAGCAATGACATGCTTGCAAATCAGGCAAAAAGAGAAATTACTAGTAAAAATTAAGTGATTAAGTGAAAATCAAAGCATACAAGACGAATTTAACGAGAGACAGAAGTAAAACTCAATTTTGTATTGAAAATTATTACTAAGGATGGAGAATTATACAACGATTTCTTGAGTATTTCAATAAAATCAATATGTTTCAAAGTTATTGCAAATTACCAATATGTATATTTTAATATTTCAGTATTTACTCTTTCAGTTTTAAATATTCAGTATTGCTGTGCTGGAGTGGGCGGAGCTAAAGAGCTCATTAGTCATGATATGCTCACTGTGATTCTCTGATTGGTGGAATGTTCAGCATAGCATCATGGGAAATGTAGTTTTTTCAGCATGAATTTAAGTGTTAGAACAGCGTTCATTTATAACCAGCTCTTAGAGCTGTGTTTCTCAACCACGTTCCAGGAGGACCACCAGCACTGCATGTTTCAGGTGTCTCCTTTGTCACACCATTCACAGGTCTTCTCTGCTGATGAGCTGATGATCCGAATCAGGTGTGTTTGGTTAAGGAGACAGGGCAGATACGCAGAGGTGGTGCTCCTCCAGGAACATGGTTGAGAAACACTGTCTTTGAGCTTTGCTTTTATGCAGATTGTATTCAATATGCTGTTAAATGTCTCTTGATGACTTTAATTGAGAAGTCTTCTGCTGTATTTTGTGCTTTCTCTACTAATTGGTTGTAATTCGAGCACCCTGTATATCTGCTCTTAATAATCGAATGCTAATAACGATCCTGAACTGCTCAGGATTAGGGCTCTGTCAGAGACAATCAGGGACTGTGTGAAATATGACATGACCACAGTTTGACCATGCTGAGGAGCAATTTTGATGTACTTCATGTTTTTTTTAAAACTTCTAGTGTGAATGAAAACACAGATATATATATATATATATATATATATATATATATATATATATATATATATATATATATATATATATATATTATGTACTGATATATCTTTAATAAACTGACGTACAAAGCCCAGGATGTCTTTTTTGGATGAATAGATTTATATGTTATCGGAGAGCTAAATAAATAAGGTTAGTTGGGATTGAATAATAATAGAACTATATGAAAATCTGGAATCTGAGGGTTAAAAAAACATCTAAATATTGAGGAAAACAGTTTTAAAGTTGTGCAAATTAAGGTCATAGCAATGCATGTTCCCAATCAAGCAATCTATATTACATCAAACAACTTTTCATATATTTATGATAGGAAATTTACAAAAAAATGTCTTCAAATAACAAGATCTTAATATTCTATTTATTTTTGGCATAAAATTATTCATTTTACCTCAAAAAGTCTATTGTTGGCTATTCTTACAAATATATCAGTGCAATATAAGGTCCAGGGTCACAAATGGATCAGTGTAGACATGACTTAAATGTATTAATTCTATTAATTTATTTCCTTTATTTATTGATAAATGTGCAGCATGTGATCAGCCAATCAGATTCCAGGAGCAGAACTGCTTTACATAAACATTATAAGTGCAAGTGCCTTTTGAATACTCTTCACTTGTGTATGAATAAACTCACAGCGGATGCTTCTTGGACAAATGCAAAAACCACATGTGCAGCACATGCACAGATATTTAGCATCCAACAGTCAGAGATTCATGATACGAGATTAGCCAGATTTATTTCCTCTTTAATGGTGTCCAAATTAAGCTCTTAGCAATGCATATTACCAAAGTCCCTTTAGGTCAAGTCATTTCACTCAGCGGCCGTATGCTCGGGCATTCTGTTTGAATGGGGAAATTCTCCAAAACTACTTGGCAAGCTTCCCATTACAATTCATATTAGGAATAACCAATAAAACTAAATAACAGCTGTCTCTTTAGTTTCATTTCTAAATGTCTAAATCACACAAAATCTGCAGAAACTCACGTCTGGTCCGAGCCCCTCCCCCAGAGTATCGTCGGCCTATAGCGATTGATGATTGGCTCCTGTACTTGTGTTGCTTTATTCACCATGTTGACCGTTACACTTTCCCATTCAAAAAGATACGAATGACATGTATTGTGTATTTTAAAGTCTTTGATATTACTAATCAAAAACTGATATTTTAATATACGATACGATACGATATATACGATACGATATTTTACGATACAAAATGTCTTCACGGTACAACATTTTAGTGCCACGTTGAAAAAAAATAGTAAAAATCTAAAAGTTAAAAGATGCAAGTTGTAATATTTTGAGAATAAAGTATATATATATATATATATATATATATATATATATATATATATATATATATATATATATACACACACACACACACACACACACTCAACGGCCACTTTATTAGGTACACCTGTCCAACTGCTCTTAGCACAAATTTGTATTCAGCCAATCCCATGGCAGCAGCTCACTGCATTTAAGCATGTAGACATGATCAAGACGATCTGCTGCAGTTCAAACTGAGCATCAGAATGGGGAAGAAAGGGGATTTAAGAGACTTTGAACGTGGCATGGTTGTTGCTGCCAGACGGAGGAGAATGGCCAGACTGGTTCCAGCTGATAGAAAGGCAACAGTAACTCAAATAAGCACTCGATACAACCGAGCTCTGCAGAAGAGCATCTCTGAACACACAACACGGCCAACCTTGAGGCGGATGGGCTACAGCAGCAGAAGAGCACACCGGGTGCCGCTCCTGTCAGCTAAGAACAGGAAACTGAGGCTACAATTCACACAGACTCACCAAAACTGGACAATAGAAGATTGGAGAAACGTTGCTGCTCTGATGAGTCTCCATTTCTGCTGACACATTCGGATGCTCGGCTCACAATCTGGCCTCAACAACATGAAAGCATGGATCATCCTGCCTTGTATCAGCGGTTCAGGCTGGTGGTGGTGGTGTAATGGTGTGGGGGAGATTTTCTTTGGGTCCATTAGTACCAATTGAGCATCAACGCCACAGCCTACCTGAGTATTGCTGCTGACCATGTCCATCCCTTTATGAGCACAGTGTCTCCATCTTCTGATGGCTACTTCCAGCAGGATAATGCAGCATGTCATAAAGCTCAATCATCTCAGACTGGTTTCTTGAACATGACGAAGAGTTCACTGTACTTAAATGGCCTCCACAGTCACCAGAGCTCAATCCAATAGAGCAGCTTTGGGATGTGGTGGAACGGGAGATTGGCATCATGGATGTGCAGCCGACAAATCTGCAGCAACTGTGTGATGCTATCATGACAATATGGAGCAAAAAAGTAATAAATGACAGAACATGATGTTTTTTCATAGTATTCTACTGATTTCTTGGCATAATAAAATGATAGTTTGACTCTGTGTTCTGTTGGATATTTTTGCAAATATACTCGTGCAACATCAAAAACGTAACAGGCGAAACACTGCACTGCTCACAGTTTTATTGCATGTTTTCAAAAACGTGCAATGTTTACATCATGACTGTTCAGCCAATCAGATTCCACGACCAGAACTGCTGTGTGTACATACACTTATAAAACAAAAGTAAGTAAAACATTTTAAGTGCAAGTATCTTTTACATCTTTAATCACTTTTATATGAATCAAAACGCTTGAAGGAAAATGCAAATAAACATATGTACACAATATGTCCAGGTCACTAGCATCATGACCAGATTTCAGTGTTTTACCAGACGAAGGCGGCTCTCTCTCTCAGCATCCGCACACCGAAGCGCTGCCACTCGCGCTGGTGGATCCAGAGCTCCTGTGTGGTGTCCAAACACGCCAGCACCGAGCCTCCCTTCCACACACACACTCGAGCGTCCGTGTCCTGTGCAAAACATTAACGTTATATCACTATATATTACACACACGCGCTCTCACTCATACTCAAAACACTCACACACTCTCATACACTCTCTTTCTCTCTCTCACACACACACACACACACCTTGGGTCGTGTGATGACGTCTACGCTCTCCACCATGCATCTAAACGAAGGCGGCATCTTGTTGAGGATGCGATGCTGCAGGAACTCCTGCGCTCCGTGAAACAGCAGCCCGCCGCCGACCACCAGAATACAGCTGTACATCTTACGCTTCGTCTCGTCCGACGCTGTGAAAACACACACACACACACACACACTGTAAGAGCTCTCTTTAAACGGTAAACAATATAAAACAATATTATTAATCAACAATTTAATATAAAAACTTAATCATGCGTGGCACGGTGGTTAACACGGTGGTCTCCTTACAGCAAGAAGGTCGCTGGTTCGAGTCTCAGCTGGGTCAGTTGGCATTTCTGTGTGGAGTTTGCATGTACTCCCCATGTTGGCGTGGGTTTCCTCCGGGTGCTCCGGTTTCCTCCACAGTCCAAACACATGCACTATAGGGAAACTGATGAACTAAATTGACCGTAGTGTATGAGTGTGCATGGGTTTTTCCCTGTACTGGGTTGCAGCTGGAAGGGCTCAGTGAAAAACACTAGCTGTGCATATTAACCCTTGTGTGACAGCACTATTTTTGACCCAACACCGCCTGTAGAGAAACGCTGCACAGGAGTGTGTGTTTGACGGCGCTATTTTTGACCCAGCAGAGGAGTGTGTGTGTGTGTGTGTGTGTGTGTGTTTACCACAGGAGTCGATGCTGTGCAGGATGGCTTTATCGATGCCCAGAGCTTTTCCCTCAAACTGAGACATGGCTGTTTTCCTGGACAGCAGAGCAGACGGCGTCTCTTCAGTTTCAGCTCCTCCGACCAGACACTCGGCCTGAGAATGACCCAGATCCAGATCCTGACCCAGACTGCTCCTGTCTGACACCTCGCAAACGCTGGATTCACCTTCGAAACTGCTCGGTTTGGGGAAGGATTTACGATCTGCGCTGGCTTTAGACGACTAAAGAGAGAGAGAGAGGCAGATTAATGCTACTACAGTTTGATCAGAACAGATCTTTCAATTCCAGTTTCTTTGCAAATCCTGTCCTGTGGACACGTTTAGATGTAATACTATGGAGACATGTTAATACGCTGCTGTCAATCAACATCAGTGGGCGGGGAACACCCCACTGCTACATCATGTTGCAGTGAGCATCAAAATCTCTGGGATTTGGATCCTATTTTAACGTCAGGAAATAAAAACAGAGATTTATTGTGTTTCTATCACTCAAGTATGACTTGAGACTACACACACTACAGCGTACAAAGGTTGATTTTCATCATAGGAACCCTTTAAACATCATTAACTAGTAGAATAAGCTTACAGTAAAGTGCGACTGAAGCATTATTAATAGCTGTTCTCCATGTCTGAGAGTGAGTTATCTGCTGCACCTGGTCTTGTTTGCTCTGTGTGGTCAGCAGAAAGTGTTCGTCGTGAGGATCCTCCGCGTCTCCCTGAGAGCGATGCAGCAGTGATGTCATCTTCTGACCCACAATCCCGAACGCAGCCGGGTAGAATAACGTCATCGGAGCCTTGAAAATACATGGAAAAATGTTTGTTATGAAGAAATAATTGAAGATAAAGAGTTAAGAATCAAACGACCAAAGGTGAAAACAAACAGATCTGTGCGGCTCTTAAAGTGACAGTACACTACATTTCTGCTGTCGACTGTTTTTATCATCAATCAGTCCTTCATTTTCTTGTTGGCTTAGTCCCTTTATTAATCCGGGGTCGCCACAGCGGAATGAACCGCCAACTTATCCAGCAAGTTTTTACGCAGCGGATGCCCTTCCAGCTGCAACCCATCTCTGGAAAACATTCAAACACAATCACACACACACACTCATACACTACGGACAATTTAGCCTACCTAATTCACCTGTACCGCATGTGTTTGGACTGTGAGGGAACCTGGAGGAAACCCACGCGAACGCAGG